GATGAGGCGTTCGATCCCGACCAGTCCTTCTCGCTGTCGTTGGATCAGTACATCGCGTTTTCTCTCTTCTTCTTCGGCGCGAGGAAGGCGTTCGACGCGTTCGATCGCTCGGACGCGACCCAGGTTGGGAGGATCACGATCGATTTCAACCAGTTCGTGTACGCGATGTCGATGACGCGCTGAGTCGAGTCGACGCGTCGGGCGCGCGCGCGCGTTCCATGAGATAGATGCTCAGTTTATTTCCTCGTAACAAACGTCGGCGCCGCTCGACGTCGTCACCCGAGTTGGTTCGCGTCTCGTCCCTTCGCGTCCGCGTCCATGTTCTCCTGTATCCACCTCGCGAGCGTGCCGCTTCCGTGGCCGTACCCTCCCGGTAGCGGACGGTAGTCCATCGTCTGCGCGAGCGGCTCCGGGCCCCACCGCGCGGGAAACCGGCTCGGCGTCGACTCGGAGCCGCCCGCCTCGCGTCCTCCTCCTTCCTCCGTCGCGGCGCCGTCGCCGTCGTCGTCGTCGCTCTCGGCGACGTCCTTCCACGCCGCCGCGTCCGCCAGCGGCAGCGCCTCACCCTCCCTGCTCGCGCGATCGAGCACTCGGCACGCGCGGTGAAAGTACCGCGGATGTAACACCCCATCGCGTCCGACGCCCGGCGTGAGCACCGCGCCGTTGGCGGCTACGAAAAACGCGACGCCGTCGGCGACGGCGGCGGCGACGTCCACCCACACCGCGACCTGCGCGTCGCTTCGCATCCCGCTCGTGACCTCGTCGGCGCTCTGTGGTCGGGCGGGCGGGCGGGCGGTCAGTTGATCGGGTTTTTAGGGCGGCGGTTGGGGTCGCGCGGTCGGGGCGGGGGGGCGCGCGCGGTCGGGGGCGGGGTCGGAGGAGGGTCGAAATATTGCATCGTGATATTGGTTGCGCGGAGAAAGGACTCACCCCGGGCAGCGCGGCCGCGAGGTGCACGTGCCGCCGTCGCATCCTTAGCAGTCCCTCCGTCTTGATCGTCTCCCACGCGCGAAGCGACGTGCCGTGGACCGCGTATCGCAGCTCCGCGCGCGCGCGCTCGACGGACACGCGCGCGAGCATCGCGTCATCGTCGAGCGCGCCGCCGCGGATGGAGTGCCCCTGCGTCGCGCGGATCATCTTCGTCGTCACGTCATCCCCGCCGCCGCCCTTCTCCGCGAGGAAGAGCTCGAACCGTCGCTTCGGGCAGTTCGCGACGAGCGTCTCGATCGCCTCCGCGGTGACGCCCTTGAACCGCGGGAGCGCGAGCACGCGATCGAGCGGGACGCCGCCCGCGGGCGTGAGGACGTCGCCGAGGCCGGCGTCGAGCGCGCCGTGACGCAGCAGCTGCGAGAGATTTACGGAGAGCGCGACGTCGGGATCTCGCGCCCAGTTCGCGAGGAAGCGGCCGCGCGCGCCGCGACCGCCGCGACCGCCGCTCGCGCCGCGACCGCCGCGACCGCCGCGGCCCCGGCCTCGGCCGCGCTCGCCCGTCGTCGCGCGCATCGGACCCGGGCAGGGGACGGACGCGCTGGGCATGTATGCGTCGGCTATCGGCATGCGGCGAACGCACCGTAAATAACGGTATGCCGTTCAAAACATGTTCATCGGTCAGTTGAAAGGTTGTGCGATCAAGTGTTGAAACCGAGCTGTGGGTGAAAAACGTTTTTATACGTCGGTAGTACCTTCGTAGCCAGCTGCAGCAAGCCAGTGCCACACGAGCCCCTCGCGGACGCGGATCTCGCCATCCTCGAGTGCCGGCACCCGCGCGGATGTCCGTCGTCTTCGCCGCGTCCATCTCGCGCGCGCGGCGCGCGGCGACGACGACGCTAGGAAGCCTCGGTCGGATCGCCGCGTCCGCGTCGCCGCCGTCGCCCTCGTCGTCGAGACGCTACTCGAGCACGCCGGGCCCCGGTCGCCCGTCGCCGTCGCGCGAGGACGCGCTCCATCCCGCGCTCCCGTCCTCGCCGACGTGGTCCACGTCCGAGCTTCTGAACCCGCGCGGCGACGCGCCGCCGCCGATCGACGCCGCGACGTTCGATCGCGTCGCCGCGCGCGCGCGCCTCGCGTTCGACGGCGACGACGCGCGCGATCGCGCGATGCGAGGGATGAACGACGTCCTGACGTTCGTGCGCGCGATGGACGACGTGGACGTCGCGGACGCGGAGCCGATGTGGACGCCGCACCGAGGCGCGAACGCGCTCAGTTCGCCGCTGCGCGCGGACGTCGTCGCGACGAGAGGAGGAGGAGGGAGCGGCGACGGAGGAGGCGGCGACGGGTGGGCGGCGGCGGACCGAGAGAAGCTGATGGCGATGGCCCCGGACGCGTCCCGCGCGCCGTATTACGTCGCGCCGCGCAAGACGTCGCCGGTCGGGGGGAGCGGCGACGAGCCAGCCTAGCCAGAGCGCGCGCAGACGACGTCGTAGGGCCTAGCTTAGCTAGTCGTTCTCATCGCATGATAACTTACTGTAGACTACGTGCCTTCGTCATGAATAGCCCTACCCGCCCGCCCGCTAGAGAGCCAGCCCAGCTAGCCTACGAGATCTACTCTACGCCAACTACCTATTTCTTCGCGGCGCTGCAATCGCGCGCGGTCGCCTTAAACGCCACCCCCGCGGCCGCCAACCCGACCGCGTTCACCGCCAGCGCCACCCCCGCGTCGCTCGCGTCCGCGATCGCCCCGAGCGCGACCGGCCCGATCATCAACCCGACGTCCCCGCACGATCGAAACGCGCCAATCGCCGTCCCTCGCGCTCTCTTCGGAGCGACGTCCGCCGCGAACGCCGCCGGCGCGGGGCCCATCAGCGCGTGCGACGCCGCCCACGCGACGCACGCGGCGGCGAAGACGTTCGCGTCCTTCGTCGTCGCGACCGCCGTGACCGCGGCGGAGGAGGCCAGCACGCCCGGGAGGATGACCGCGGCGCGCGATGGCGTTTTGTCGGCGAGGTACGCCGCGGGCGCGACGCCGGCGAGCTGCGTCGCCGCCATCGCCGCGAACATCAAGCCGACGCCGTGCGGGGTGTACCCGTGCTCGGTCGCGGCGACGAGGGGCAGCAGCGTCGCGCGGCCGCCCGCGCCGCTGAAGAAGAGCGCGGCGTTGAGCCCGGACACGGCGAGGAAGTCCTTCGAGGACAGCAGCGTCTTCACCGCGGCGGCGTCGTCTTCGCGCTCGCGCTCGCGCTCGCGCTCGTCTTCGTCGGACAGGGTGTCGGACAACGAATCCGACGTGGCGTCGACGTGGTCCGACGTGGAAGCCCCCGCGGCGGTCGCGGCGCCGACCGTCCGACCGACTGATGCCACGTCGGATACGACCTCGTCCGACGCCCTGGCCGACGGAAGCGTCTCCGGCACGCTCCACCACGCGTGCGCCGCGGCGACGCCGCACAACCCCCCAACAAACACGAACGGCGACCGGCACCCCAAGTCGAACGCCCCCACGGTGACCCCGCCCAGCACCGGTCCGATCGCGGCGCCGAGCAGCGTCGCGGCTTGGTTCACCCCGAGCGTCCGCGCGCGCGTCGACGGCGACGACGCGTCGATCAGAAACGCCTGGGTTTCGCGCGGGGGGTGAACGAACGCGTCGGTCAGTCGATCGTCTCGTCGCCGCCGGTCAAACGTCACTCACAGTACAGTACGTTGAAAGGGACGCGCGATTGAAGAGCGGCGACGGACGGGGAAAGAAAGTCCAGTCCTTAAGAAACGGCGTTCACCACGCGAACGACGTCGTATGGGAACCGGTCTAAAACGCGCCTGCGCGCCCGCCGCGTACACCGCGCTGCCGGCGCCGGATACGAATCGCCACGCGAACAGCTCCGGCAGCGACCCCGCGAACGCGCTGCCGAGCATCCCCATCCCGGTGATCACCGGCCCGGCGACGATCAGAGGGCGTCGGCCTCGCGCGTCGGCGAACGCGCCCGCGGGGACGTTGAGCGCCAACCGCGCGACGGCGAAGGCGCTGAGGGTCGTTCCATTCATCGGTCAGTTGAAAGGGGACGCGATCAAATGTTGAAACCGATGGATGGGTGAAACCAGACACTTTGTATAGAACGCACCTCAGGCTCATCCCGACCTGCGTCATGCTCGCGCCGAACTCGTTCGCGAAGAGCGGGAGGACGGGCGCGACGCAGGAGTGGCCGGCCATGAGGAGCCCTGTCGTCAGCGCGACGGACGCGACGTGCGGGGACTGTCTGACGACGCCGAGGAGGTCCCACCATCGACGCGGCGACTCCGCGGGCGTCGTCGTCGTCGACGTCGTCGACGACGACGACGACGACGACGACGACGAGCGGGACGACGACGCGGATCTCTCGTCGTCGTCGTCGTCGTCCTTCGGCGGCGACGGCGACGCGCCCGCGGCGGCGCCGCTCGCGGCGCTCGCGGAGAACCCCGCGGTCGCGCGCGTCGAACGCGGCGACGACGACCATCGGTGACGACGACGACGAGGCTGATGCTGCTCCTGACGAGGACGACGATGATGGTGTCGCATCGCATCAATCATCTGAAGGCGCTCGTCGCGACGACGCGTCCGCTCGTCCGCCGCGCCCTCCGCCTCCGCGAGCGCGGACGCCGTCCACCGCGCCCGCGGACGCCGCGCGCGGTTCGCCGCCGACTCCGCGAGCGACGCGAGCGCGCGTCGCGTCGCCGCGGACATCGTGGCCGCGCGCGCGCGTCTGCGCGCGCTCGGTCCGGAGCCGGCGCTGATGATGAGAGTCGAACGCGAACGGCCTGGCATGGCAGTTCGTGAGGTTTCGTGGCTGCGAGCGCGCGAGATACGACTCTGGCGTTCGTCTCCTCCTCGTCAGAAGCGGACGCGCGGCCGGCGGGTCGCGATGGCGACGACCGAGCCCGTCCCCGCGGACGCCGCGCCCGCGACCGCGGAGGAGACCGTGACCGCCGCCGACTCCGCGCTCGCGCCCGCGGCGCGCGACGTCGACGCGACGTCGACCGCGACCGCGACCTCGATCGGAGGCGTCGACGACCGCAGATCCGTCCCCGCGCCCTCGTCGCCGTCCTACGACGACGGCCGCGGCGTCGCGTTCTTCGACCTCGACCACACCCTGATCGACACGAACTCGTCGTGGCTGTGGATGAAGCACGAGCTGAACAACGGCAAGGTGGGCGCGGGGATGCTCGCGACGAGCGTGTACTGGTTCGCGCGCTACGCCATGGGCTTCGGATCCGGCGCGGAGCGCGCGGGCGCGGAAGCCGCGGAGCTCTACGCGGGCACGCCGGAGGAGAAGCTGAGGCGGGAGGTCGACGCGTTCTTCGAGAAGGAGCTCGCGCACCGCGCGCGCCCGGGCGGCAAGCCGATCATGGAGAAGCACATCCGAGCGGGAGAGAGGTGCGTCGTGTGCACGTCGTCGTGGCAGCACCCGGCGGCGTCGGCGGCGCGGCTGTTCAACTGCGAGTCGGGTGCGTCCTCTTCTCTCGCGTCGATCGATCATCATCGCGCCGGTCCCCGCGCCGCGACCCCCGCACTGGTCCCCATACGACGGCGTTCGCGTGGTGAACGCCGATCCTTAAGGACTTTTCCCGGCGCTTCTCTCCGCCCGCCGCCCCTCGCTCTCGACCCCGACGCGCCGCGACGCCTCGCGACTCCGTCGTCTGACGCGCCCGGCTCCGAACTCCGCCCCGACGCTCCCTCCCTCTCTCGCCAGCCGTCGACGACGTCATCTCCAGCGTGATGGAGGTGGACGAGGCGGGGAACCTCACCGGGAAGATCGCGAAGGTGTGCTACGGCGACGGGAAGTCCGTCGTGACCGAGGCGTGGTGCGCGCGGCGGGGGATCGACCTCGCGAAGTGTTACTTTTACACCGACAGCATGTCGGACGTGAGCTTGCTTGAAAAAGTCGGGCACCCGGTGGCGGTGAACCCGGATCGACGGCTGCGCGCGCACGCGAAGAAGCGAGGGTGGGCGGTCATGGACTGGGGCGTCGCGAAGCCGAAGGATCCGATGAAGAAGCCGAGGTACTCGTACGGGTGTTTAGCGTTCCACGGCGCCAAGTCGGGGCCGGGATGAGGACGGAGAGGGGAGGGAGGAGCGAGCGGCGCGAGGTAATTTTTTTTTTTATTCGCACTCGCACTGCGCGCGCCGCTGCGTCGTCAAACAACACGGATTTTTGAAAAACACACTTCAACGACGACGCGCGCGCATTCCCACCCTCGCGCCTTCCCACCATGAGCCCGTACACAGGATGGGATAACGGCCCGATGAGCAACCGCCCGGCGTTCACCGTCGGGTTCACGCGCTCGCTCGTCCCCGGCCGCGGCGACTCCGGTGCGCGCGCGCGTCCTCGTCTCTCCGCCGTCGATCGAGACGAGACGCGACGCGAAAATCGCGTTTCCCGCTCGCGGTTTGAATCGTCGTCCGTCCGTCCGTCGTCGCCCGCGCGCGCGTCGTCCGTCCTCTCTCTCCTCTGACGTCCCCGACCGCCCGACGTCCCGCTCCGACGACCCGCAGACCAGCCGAAGTACACGTACGAGGGCAGCGTGAAGACCGCGTCGCAGCGCGCGACGAGAGGCGTCCTGGAGTACTGGGCCAAGGGCGGCGACTCGGACACGGCCGCGATGGCGTCCGCGTACAAGGAGCGCACGCTGCACTCCTCCGTCGCCTCCGCGCTCGCGTTCCCGGACGAGCTCCTGGGCGACATCTACGCGGACCCGGACGAGGTCAAGAAGGCGAAGAAGCGCGGGCGCAACGTCGCCGCGGACGCGCCGCAGACGGGGACGCGGTTGAGCGACGACGAGGTCGCGGTCTTGAAGGGGTGGAGCAAAGTCGCGGAGGACGAGCGCGCGACGAAGGAGGCGTTCGACACGTTTCGATCGATGCGGGACGACCCCATCACGGCGGCGCCGACGACGCCGCCGGCGAGCGTGAAGGGGTACTCCAGAGAGGAGCTCCTCGCGCTGCGCGACGCCGCGCCCGAGGGGCCCGTCGTGTTGGAAGGCGAGAAGAGGCGACTGCCGGCGGTGCGATGGAGCGCGTGCGACAAGCGCGCGACGTCCAACGGCGCCGCGAGGAATTGCGCGCCGACGAGCCTGTGAGAAGAGACGCGCGGACGCTCGAGAAGGAGGAGGAGGCCGCGGCTTCGCGCGCCGATGACTCGGAGAAGGACGTCGAGGGACCGCCCGCGCGGTACGGTACCCCCCCGATTGTGAGTATACGTAGTATACAGTACAGCCCGCGTCGGAACTCGCTCGACGTCGCGATCCTCACCCGCCGGCGGCGACGCCTTCGCTCGGGACGGTCACTCCCTTCGCTCTCAGCGCGTCGACCATCTCGTCGTTGTGCGTCCGCGTCGACTTCGCGACGCTGAGTTTCCGTCGCGCCTCCGCCTGCGACTCCGCGAGCTGACGCTTCGCGTTCGCGACCTCGTCCTCCTCCTCCCCGTCGTCGCCGTCGCCGCCCGCCGTCGTCTTCTTCGCCACCGCGTCGCCGACGCCGGCGCCGTGGAGCGTCGGCGTCGGCGCCGCCGCCGCGGGCGCCGGCGGCGTCATCTCGTTGCTCAAGAAGCAGCCCAAGAGCGCTCTCTTGCGCGTCATCTCCACCGCGAGCGCGGCGTCGATCGTCGCCGCGACCTTCTGCGACTGCTCCAGGCGCTCGATCGTCTCGTGCAGTCCCATCTTCGCGAATCGGTCGGTGTCCTCCTTCGCGAGCGCCTTCATGCGCGCGATGACCTCCGCGACGTTCTTCCGGTCGTACGCCGCCTTGGAGGTCTTCTCGAGCGTCGCGCAGTCGACGCCGGAAGCCGCGGACGCTTTCTTCTCCTCGCGTAGCTTTTGCTTCTGGCCCATGACGGTCGTCGCGGAGCGCTGCGAGATGCGCGGCTGGCTAGGTTTCTCCCGGTGCCGGCTTTCGCGCGACGGCGTCGGCGCGGAAGGCGACGCGACGCGTCGCGCGCGCCCCGAGCCGTCGCTCGCGGAGGCGCGCGCGCTCGCGAGGACGCGGACGAAGCTCGGTCGCGATCGCGACGGAACGCGCGCGGCGTGGAGTGCGCGCTGGCGGCGTCTCGCTGACTCCGCGTTCCGAGATTACACAGCACGTACGAGTACGGCGGCGCGCGTTCGCGGCTCGTCTCGCGTGGACAGGACGAGCTGAGTGCAGTGTGAAGCTCGCTCCCGTCCGCGGACGCCAGCTGTACGAACGCGCCGCTCACGAGACGCGACGACGACGCGATGCGCTCTCTTCAATACAAACGAAATACAAACCAACACACGTACAGTTAACAGTAGCCCTCCGACTCGCGCGTCCGTCGCTTCACGCCTTCTTCACCTTCCCCGGGGTCTGGTCCGCGGCCCACTCCGCCTTTTCGCTCTTTTTCGCCTCCTTCGCCGCCTTGCCGAGCCCGACGTGGTCCTCGTCCGTCATCGCGAACTTCGCGATGGGCTTCCCGAGCGAGTCGTAAAAGTACAGCACGTACGTGAAGATCACCATCCGCGTCTGCGTCTGGACGAACGCCCCGACGGTGGGGCCGAGGAGCGCGAGCGTCGCGGAGGACTGCGTGAGCGTCGTCGCGACGAGGAGGACGACGTTCCAGACGTACTGCTTTCGCCACGGCTTGACGAACGTCAGGAAGACGTCCCTCGCGACGCGCTTCGCCTTGAGCTTGAGCGACTTGGACTTGTACGGGCTCGCGAGCTTTCCGCGCGCGGCCGCGAGCTTCGCGGCGCTCTTCTGCGCCTTCTTCTCCGCTTTCGACTGCTTCGGCGCGGTCTTCTCTCCGGCCGACGCGCCGCTCAGGATGCGTCGCACCTCCAAGTTCTTCAGCCACTCGTTCGTCAGCTCGCGCGAGCTCCGGCCCGCGATGTTCACGCACGAGAAGAACGCCACCTTGAAGACCCACGGGAGCAGGGTCACCGGCATCGCGAGCAGGGTGAAATCGTACGCGCCGGCGCCGGTCAGCGACCCGGCGAACCGCTTGAGCTGTCGAATCTTGTTCATGCCCCAGCCCGTGAAGAGAAACTTTCGCGTCGACGCGCCCTTGGCGCCGAAGACCGATTTCAGCGTCTTCACGGAGAGGAAGTGCACGATGACGGTCGCGACGAGCGCGTCGAAGACGGCGTTGTCGCCGATGACCCCGAGCGGGTTCAGGGAGTCGATCGCGAACGGCACTCGTCCCGCGAGCTGGCACGCCATGGACGCGGCGAAGTAGTACGCGAGGCCGTGCTCTTTCTCGGTGCCGGTGACGTTCAGGGAGTCGCGTCGGATGAGCATGCACTGCGTGAGACCGTGCCAGAATCGGACGTACCGCGGAGAGAACTTGTCCAAGAACTTCAAGATGTACGGCGCGTAGAAGACCACGTTCACGACGAACATCGCCTTGTCCGCGTTAGAGAGCGACGCGAACCCGCCCGCTTTCTCGTTGAACTTCTTGAACCAGCTCTTGAACGTGAACGCCTTGTAGAGCGCCCAGAAGAAGAACGCGATCTTGAACGGCATGATGAGCATCGTCACGAGCACCATCTCGGCGCGAGCGTCTCGCTCCCTCCGCGCGAAAAGACGGACGGACGCGCGCTGCGACGGACGTCGCGGCGGACGAGAATGATGCGCTCCAATTAATTTCCGCAATTTCGTTGTTAACCGACGAACAAAACCAACGTCTCGATCGTGGCGCGTTCGACCTCGCTTCGCGACGGCCGTTTCGTTGAACGGTCGATCGCGGCCTTCTCTCGCGATGAACGAAAAAAAAATCGGCACCTCGCGCGACGACGGCGCGCTCCCAGAGATCTCGGCGCGTCCGCCGCAACCCTACCGCGCCGGGCGCCCCCCGCCGCGCGGGATGAACAAGGGCGGGGGCGAGAGAGCGCGCGCGGAGAAGGCCGCGCGAGAGGGCCGCGGCCGCGGCCGCGGCCGCGGCCCCGGCCTGAAGCGCGGCGCGCCGTCCGTCGCGAGCGCGAGCGCGCGCGGAGGAGGAGGAGGAGGAGGAGGCGTAGAGCTCCTCAACGCTCGCGTGCCGGTCCCCGGCGAGCCGCCGCCGCTCCCGCCTCGCCGCGCGGCGTCGTCGTGCGCCGCCGGCGCCGGCCTCGCGGAGGAGGAAGACGACAAGGGCGCGAGCGGGCTCCGGGGATGGCGCGGGTTCGACGACGCGAGCGCGGGCGCGTTCGACGGCCTCGGCGTCGTCCCCGGCGCGGCCGTCGCGAGAGGCTTCCCGATGCGCGCGGCGCGCCTCCTCCTCCGCGCGGGCGACCGCGGCGAGGATGTCCTCCACATGGCGGACGACGCGCAGGACGCGGTGAGCGCGCTCCTCCGCGAGCTGCGCCCGCCGGAGATCCCGCGCGCGAGCGTCGACGCCGCGAGCGCGAAACGCGCGCGAGAGGCGGAAGCGATGGCGCGACGGAATCTCACGCGCGACGCCGCGAAGAAGGGCGCCGCGCAAGGGCTCGCCGTCGACGCGTCCATCGTCCCGACCGGCCGCGCCGCGCTGCTCGCGTCCAGCGACGACGTGCTCGACCAGCTCGCCGCGCAGGAAGCGCACGCGGTCGCGCGGGGGGAGGCGGCGGCGCGCGCGGGGAGGGCGAGGGCGAGAGACGCGAGATTGGAGAGAGAGCGACGCGTCCGCGAAGAACGCGTGAGGACGCGGATCGTAGACCGAGGGTTCGACGTCGCGCTCGCGGACGACGCGCTGCGGCACTGCCCGGAAGACGCGAAGGACTTTGACGCGGAGGAAGCGGAGGAAGAGGACGCGAGAGCGCGCGCGAGGCGGCAGAGGAACGCCGTCGACGCGAGGCTAGCGGCGGCGCTGGACTGGCTGTGCCTGCACGCGCCCAAGGTGAGACTGGTTCCCATACGACCGCGTTGGCGTGGTGAACGCCGATCCTTAAGGACTTTTGCCGTCGTCTCTCTCCGCCCACACCTCGCTTTCAATACCCGACCGCGATGCCTTTCAACTCCGACTGACGCCTTTCAACTCCACCCCGACATCATCTTCAAGGCGTCGCTCCCTCCCGCGTTCGTGAAGCTCGCGGCGCGACCCGCGGAAGACGCGGATCTTGATCTCGACGCGTCCGGCCGCGCCCGCGCGGCGATGGCCGCGGACGCCGAAGGGGCGCGCGGAAGGCGGCGCGGCGACGGCGAGAGCGAGCACGTCATCTCCGCCGCCGCCGCGCCCGCGGATCCGTACGTCGCGCTGTTGCAGCGCGCGATGCTGGCGCGGATTCAAGCCGCGGGGTTCTCGCGCGCGGAGGCGAGGGAGGCGCTCGAGGACGCGGGGTGGATCGAGGAGGACGCGACGTACGCGCTGCTTCGGGGGCTGCAGCCCGTCGACGCGCGCGACGACGACGACGACGACGACGCGCGCGCGATCGACGCGTCGTCGGACGGCGGCGTCGTCGCGGCGGAGGAACGCGCCGAGGAAGCGCTCGCGTTGGCGGCCATATTAGACGACGCCTTCGCGGAGCACGCGGGATCGGGATCTTCTCCCGACGCGGGATCATCCGCGGTGGTTAACATGTGGACGGTTTCGATCGCCCCGGACGACGACCGGTGGCGCCCGTGCGTCTTGGAGGTGCACTTCCCGCCCGGGTGCGAATACCCCGCAGAGGCGCCGCTGTTGTCCGTCCGGCAGCCGAACTTGCCGCCGCCGATGCGACGATCGATCGCCGCGCAGCTCGCCGCGCAGGCGGCGTCGGCGCGGGGCGAACCCGTCGTGTACACGCTGGTCGCGTGGCTCCAAGAGCACCTCCCCGCGATCTTGGACGAGCACGGGGAGATGGACGAGGAAGCCGCCGCGAGGGCGGCGAGCGCGGCGGCGGAGGAGGAAGCAGCCGCGGAAGCCGCCGCCGCCGCCGCCGCGGGCGAAGCGGGGAACGCGCTGTCCGGGCGGTCGCACATCGAGCGGACGTTCGCGAAGCTGGAGACGAAGAGAGACGAGGATGCGAGAGAAGAGGCGGATCGACAGCGAAGGATGGCGTACTTTCGTAGGCTGCTCGAAGAGGAGAAGGAAGCGGAGGAGGAGGAGGAGGAGGAGGAGGAGGAGTTGGACGACGACGACGACGACGACGACGTCCTTAAGGAACGGCGTTCACCACGCGAACGCGGTCGTATGGGAACCAGTCACGACGACGACGACGACGACGACAGCGAGGACGAAGAGGATGAGAGGACGTCCGCCGCGGTCGAGCGATCGACGTCCACGCCGCCGCCGCCCGACGCCGCGCGCGTCGTGGACGCCGACGCGTCTCTGGAAGATAAGCTCACGCGGTGGGAGGAGGAGCACAAACGACGCGTCGCGGCGGCTGAGGAAGCGACCGCCGCCGCCGTCGCGGCGGTCAAGTCGCGAAAGATCATCCAGCCGAACACCGTGCTCACCGCCGCCGCGGTCGCCGCCGCGGAGGCGGCGAAAGCGAAAGAGGCGGAGGAGATACGTCGCAGGGAGAGAGAGGAGGAGGAGTCGAAGACCGCGAGAGGACGACGCGCGAAAGCGCGCGCGGAGCTGTACGAAGGGAAGGGCGCCGCCGCCGCCGCCGCCGCCGCCGCCGCGGGCGACAAAAAACCGAGCGTGTCCTGGCTCACGAAGCACGTCAAGAACATGGGATGGGGCGACGAGGAAGGCGTCGGGGAAAGCGGCGCCGCGGGCGACGCCGACGGCGCGGGCGACGACGCGCTCGAGCCAGACGAGGTCGCCGCCGCCGCCGCCGCGTCGCTCGCGGGCGTCAGCGCGGTACGAGCCGCCGCCGACGCCGCCGCCGCCGCCGAAGCCGCCGCCGCCGACTCCGAACGTCTCCTCGCCGCGGAGAAGCGCAAGCGCGCGGACCCGAAGTGGATCGCGATGCAGGCGAAGCGCAGAGAGCTCCCCGCGCACGCTATGCGCGCGGAGGTGCTCGCGTGCATCGCGTCCGGCCCCGCGTCCGTGGTCAGCGGCGCGACCGGGTGCGGCAAGAGCACGCAGGTGCCGCAGTTTCTCCTCGAAGACGCGATCCGCGCGGGGAGAGGCGGCGAGTGCTCCGTGATCATCACGCAGCCGCGACGGCTGAGCGCGATCGCGGTCGCGGAACGCGTCGCGAGCGAGCGGTGCGAGCGCATCGGCGACGTCGTCGGGTACTCCATACGTCTGGAGTCGAAGCAGAGCGCGAGGACGCGTCTGTTGTTTTGCACCACGGGGATACTCCTCCGTCGGCTGCAGAGCGACCCGGATCTGGTCGGCGTCACGCACGTCGTCGTGGATGAAGTCCACGAGCGCGACCTCTTGTCCGACTTCCTCCTCGTCATACTTCGCGCGCTCGCGAAGCGACGGAAGGACCCGCCGTTTCGCGTCGTCGCGATGAGCGCCACCGTGAACGCGGAGTTATTCCAGACGTACTTTGAACGCGTCTTGGACGACGGCCCGTGCAGCGCGGTGGAGATCCCGGGGAGGACGTTCCCCGTCGCGGAGTACCGCCTCGAGGACGCGATCGAGGCGACCGGGTACGTGTGCGAGCCCGACGGCGAGTACGCGTTGGGTTCGGACGCGAACAAGAACGCGAACGGAGGAAGAGGCGGCGGGAGGACGTTCGGCGCGCTCAGCGGCGGCGGCGGCGGCGCGCGCGGCAGAGCCGCGCGCGCCGCGATCGGAGACTCCCTCGAGAAGTCGTCGATGCTCGAGGACGTCACGGAAGAAACGCGCGCGATGTACCCCGGGTACAGCGAGTCCACGATGCGATGCCTGCAGACGATCGACGAGGACGTCATCAACATGGAGCTCATCGAGTCGCTCATCGCGCACATCGCGGACGAGTACGAAGACGGCGCCATCCTCGTGTTTCTCCCGGGCATGGCGGAGATCCGAGGGCTGCACGAGCGCCTCGTCTCCAACCTGGACGACGTCGAGACGCGGTTCACGCTGATACCCCTGCACTCGACGTTATCCAGCGAAGAACAGCGGCTGACGTTCAGCGTGCCCCCGCCCGGCGTCCGGAAAATCGTCATGGCGACGAACATCGCGGAGACGTCCATCACCATCGACGACGTCGTGTTCGTGATCGACGCCGGACGCGTTCGCGAGACGCGGTACGACCCGGCGTCGCGGATGTCCTCGCTCGTCACCGCGTGGTGCTCCAAGGCGTCGAGCCGGCAGCGGCGCGGGCGCGCGGGGCGCGTCCGCGAGGGGTACTGCTTCCACCTGTACTCGTCGAGGAAAGAACGCGAGCTCGCCGCGTTCACGACGCCGGAGATTTTACGCACGCCGCTCGACGCGCTGTGCCTCCAGATTAAGGTGTTGAAGCTCGGGGACGTGCGCGAGTTTCTGTCGCAGGCGATCGAGCCGCCGCCGGAGGAGTCCATCGCGTCCGCGCTCGCGTCGCTCGCGGAGCTCGACGCGGTGGACGCCTCGGACGAGCTCACGCCGTTGGGGCGGCACCTCGCGGAGCTGCCGGTGGACGCGCGGCTCGGGAAGATGATTCTCTACGGCGCGATGTTCTCGTGTCTCGACCCGGTGTTGACGATCGCCGCGAGCGTGGGGTTCCGGTCGCCGTTCCTCGCGCCGATAGACAAGAGGGACGAGGCGGACGAGGCAAAGCGGAAGCTCGCGGGCGCGGGGGCGAGCAGCGATCACCTGACGCTCGTGAGGGCCTACGCGGGGTGGATCCGAGCGCGCGCGCGGGGGCGCGGGTTCGAGCGCGATTTTCTCTCCAAGACGTTCCTCAGCGCGCAGACGCTGAAGCAGATCAGCGAGATGCGGCAGCAGTACGTCCAGCTTCTCGATCAGATCGGGTTCTTGAGGAGCGGGACCGGGATGTTGGGAGGCGCCTCCAAGGGGAAAGAAAAAGAAGACGAAGACGACGGGGAGGAGAAAACCGACGCGGCGATGAAAGCGGGGGATGAACCCTCCGCGAGCGGCGACGGCGCTTCGCTCGACGCCGCCGCCGCGCCGTTCGTCCCCGGAGGAGGACACCGTCCTCCGCCTCCGCCTCCGCCGCGCGGGGGTCGAGCCCCCAACGACCGCGACCGACACCGCGGCGGTCGGTCGACGCGCGCCGCCGCCGCCGCGCTCGAACTCGCGTCCGCGAACGCGACGAACGAACCCCTCGTGCGCGCGGTCATATGCGCCGGTCTGTACCCTAACGTCGCGCTCGCGGAGCCCAAGACCGCGGAGACGTCGCGACCGGGCCGCGGCGGCCGCGGCGGCGCCCAGACCAAAATCTCCGTGCGCACGAAGGGCGACGGCGAGGTGTCGCTGCATCCGACGTCGATATGCTTCGGCGCGTCCGCGTTCGAGCACCGGTTCCTTCTGTACCACGAGAAGGTGCGAACGACGAAGGTATACATACGCGACGCGACGATGGTCGGCGCGTACCCGCTGTTGCTCTTCGGCGGCAAAGTGAAGGTGGATCACGAGCGATCGAGCGCCAGCGTGGACGGATGGATCCGGTTCAGAGCCGCGCCGCGCGTCGCGGTGCTGTTCAAGGCGCTGCGCGCGGAGCTGGACGGGTTGTTGATGCGGAAGATAGCGTCCCCGGAGCTGAACATCGCGGCGAAGAGCGGCGATTTAGTCAGACAGATCGTGGAGTTGTTGGAGAACGAGGACGACGCGACACGCGCGGCGAAGAAAGAGGCGCGAGACGCGGAGGCGGCGACGCGAGCCGCGGCCGAGGCGACGAACGACGATTGATCGATCGATCGAAGACGCCGACGGAGAAGGCGTCGCGGCAGAGTACTGTAGCGAAGCGAGGCTCAGAACCACCGCGCGACATACAGTACGTGAAGGTAGCTAAGACTAGTCTAAAACAATGCGGCAGGCAGCGCGGTAGTCTAGTACTGTAGCCCTACAGCGCCCTCACCGCCGGCAGCAGCGTATCTCTGCACCACGCCGCGGCGGCGACGTCGAGCTCGTCTCTCGCGGCGTCGAGGTACCGCCGCGGCGTCACGCGCGTCCCGCCTAGTCTCTTCACCGCGTCGTCCGCGAGCGCTCCCGCCTGGTTGCAGTCCGCGGCGGTGTTCTGGTTCGAGCGGAACGCCGCGCGCTCCGGCATCGCGTCCGTGTCCCCGACGGCGACGACCGCGTACGCGACGGGGACGGGAGCTGCTGATCCGACGTCGTCGTCGTCGACGCGTCGGATCCGCCATCGCGACGGCGACGCGCGATCGTCGTCCCCGGCGGCCGCCCCCGCCGCTCGGTTCTTCTTCGACGCCGCGAGGCAGTCCCTGATGAACGTCACGGACTCGTCCGCGGGGTTCTCGAACTCCGCGGTCTCGACGACGAGGACGTAGATCACGTCGCGCGACCGCGCGTCGACCCGAGCGTCGTCGTCGTCGTCGTCGACGACGCCGAGACGCACGATGTCGAGCCCCGCGTCGGGGTACTCGGCGAGCTCGAACACCTCCGCGGCGAGCGCGCCGTCGGCGGCGGCGTTCGCGGCCGCGGCGACGTGCGACGCGACCTCGCGCGCGATCGGGCCGCCGTGGAGGATCCGCAGCGCGCGCGGAGGCGCCATCGGGAGTGGCGGCGCGGCGCGACCGCGCGTGGGCACACTGTGAGAGAGGTGCCTGTTGAAGTGGCTGTCGACGCCGCCGAGAAATTTTCCGAGCGAAGAGAAAAGGTTGTCGTTGGGCCGCCTGCTCTCCCGCGACGGGAGGTCCCCTCCCGCGTCGGGAGCGCACTGCGACGCGCGCGCGAGGAAGTCGCGCGCGCTCGGCGACGACTTCGCGAACCGCGCGGACGCGCGACGGAGCGGCGGCGTCGCGCACTCGGTCCCGCGGAGGCGGGGACGCGTCGCGCGCGCGTCGCGGGGACGATCGATCTCGGAGGTGCCCACGCGCACGGCTCGTCGCGAGGGCGGCCGCGATGTCGGGCGCGCTCACGCTCGGACGCGAGGTCCAAGTCCGCGCGCGGATCAAGTCGATGTGCGCGCGTCGTCTCGCGATCCCGCTTCCCCACGCCGTCGCCATCGCGCGCGTCGCGTCGCGTCGCGCCTTCCCCGGGGTCCCCGAGTCTCTCGCTCGCGCCTCCGTTCATCACCGACCCCCTCCTCCCAATCCTCCATCGCATCGCGCCGCAGATACAACAAGCGCCAGGTCGACTTCACCGCGCTGAAGGACTACAACGACTACCTCGAGGCGCAGGAGGACATCATCTTCAACCTGATCGAGGGCGTGGACGTGAAAGAGACCGAGGCGAGGGTGGACGCGTACAGAAGAGAGCACGCGAGCGAGATCGCGCGATTGCAAAAGCGCAACGAGGAGGAGGATCGACGGCTCGCGTCGGCGCGCGGCGTCGCGGCGTCCGCGGACGCCACCTGGGCGCCGCGGCGGATGTCCGGCGCGGACAGCGCCGGCGAGGGCGAGACCCCCGCGCCCGCGCCGGGGGGGAAGGCCGCGTCCGGGTTCGCGGCGATGTTCGGGTTCGGACAAACCCCGGGCGCGAGCGGCGGCGGCGGCGGTACAGCTGGCGGCGGCGGCGGCCCGCCGCGCGTCGTCTCAGTGAAACCGCCGACGCCGGCGCCGATGTCCGCGGGTAAGGCGCTCGAGATCGGGCACGGGCGGCACGCGCATCACGCGGGGTGGGACGACGCGACGGATAAGAGCGAGGAGGGGCAGCGGAGGAGGGAGGCTGCGATCGCGTCCGCGTGCGGGGTGGACTTCGTCGCGTTGGGTCGGAGACGCGCGACGCAAGAGGCGCTGACGTCGGTGTTTTGTTAACCGTCAATCCTTTATTCGTCTCGCTCGCGATCGATCGTATCAACAGGCGTGTATCTCGATAATTAAAAGCATAACTTAACGTGCGCGCGATGAGCGGGCGCCCGTCCGGACGTTCGGTCGCCCCCCTGCAATCGAGCTGAATCGTCGCTTCTTACTCCCCCCACCCCACCCCGGTTCCCCTCGTTCGCTCCGCTCGCGCCGACTTTCGGGACCGAGTCGTCGCTTCGCGATTTAGTAATTAAAACAGAGGCTCGTCCTCCGCCTCGGGCGTCTTCTTCACCTCCTTCTCGCCCTCCGCGGCCGCGGCGACGAGCTTCGCGCCGTCGTCCTCTGTCGCGGGCGCCGCGGGCATCTTGATCGACGGCACCGCGTTGGACTTGGCGTCCGTCACCTGCACCGCCGCGGGGGAGGAGGGCGCGTACGCCACAACCTCCGGCGTCTTTTCCTTCTCCTTCTCCTCCGCGCTAGCGTCGGCGACGACGTCCGCGACAATCTTCTCCACGACCGGGCTGGCGGTCGGCGCCTTGGCCTCCTCCGCCGCCGCCTCCGCGGCGGCTTCCTCCGCGGCGGCGAGCCAGTTCATCTGCCGCTCGCGCGTGGACTCGTCCACGACCTGGCCGACGCCGACGGCGCCGTCCTTCCCCGCGCGGATCCTAGCCACCGTCGCGCTTCCGCCCATCCTCGCGTAGTTGGTCTCCTTGTCGCTCTGCGCGCGCGCCGCCGCGCGCGCGTCCTGCAGACGCCGCGAGCTCTTGTTCAGGGCGTCCGCGGCGGCGTCCGACGGCGGCGGCGTGCGCGCCTTGATCGCCGCCGCGCTGACGCCGACGACTTGGTTCGCCCAGTTCAGGACGCTGCCCACCGGGTTGGCGGAGAACCCTTCGCTCGGCGAGACGCCCGACTTGGCCTGCTCCGCGGTCATCTTCCCGCTCAGGAGCGCGATCACCTTGCGGTCCGCCTCCCACGCGGCTTTAAACTCCGCGACGACGTCGAGCGCCTCCGCGAGTTCCTTCTTCAGCGTTTCCACCTCCTCGCCGTCAACCACCGCCGTCGCCGCGAGCGCCGCGGCTTCCTTCTCCGCCGCCGTCGCTCTCTCCGTCGCGGCCGCCTCCTTCGCGAGCGCGGACTTGAGCTGCTTCTTGAGCGTCGCGATCAAGAACTGGTCCGCCTCGCTCTGCGTCTTCGCCTCGACGAGCTCCTCTTTCGCTTTCGCGCCGCTCTCGACTTGCGCCTTGGCCTTGGCGAGCGAGATTCGAGCCTGCGCGAGCTTCGACTTGAGGTCCTTGTTCCGCTCCGTGACGGACTCGAGCGCGTCGAGCGCGTCTTCGAGCTCCGCGCGCAACGCCACGAGATCGTCCGCGTTTTCGTTCGCCGTCGCCTCCTTGAGCGCCGCGAGGAGGTCGTCGTGGCCCTTCTGAAGCTCCTCCACCTCGCGTCGGTGTTCCTCCTCCATCGCGAGCAGCTTGGCATCCGTCTCCGCGTCGATCGCCGAGACGAGGACGTTCAGTTCTTCATCCTCGTCCGGGATCGCCTCGCGCTTCGCCTTGGCCGCCGCGCGGAGCTCCTCCGCGGCTTTGAGCTTCTTCACGGACGTCTCCTTGATCTCGTTGACGTTCGCCTTGACGGTGATGTCCGCGTCCGTGCCCTTGAGCGCCGCCGGAAGCGCGTTGTCGAGCTCGACGTCGGTGACGTTCTTCTTGTCAGCCTTGCTCGACGCCGGGTGGTCGTGCGCCGCGTTGAACGCGGCGGCGGACATCTTCGCCTTGTCCGACGACTTCGCCGTCGCCGCGAGCGCTGCGCGCGCCGCGCGCATCTCCGCCTCCGCCGCTCGAAGCTCCGCCTCCGCGGCGGCTTTCGCCTCCTTGAGCTCCGCCGCGCGTTTCATCGCCGTCGCCTTCGCTTCGTCTTCGGCTCGCGCGAGCTCCTCTCTCACGCGGAGTTTCTCGAGCTCGCGTTCCACGCGCGCGGCAGCCTCCGCGCGCAGCTTGGCGTGGTCGTCCTCAAACTTGGCAGCCTTGTCCGCCTTGATCGCAGCCTTCCTCGTGTTGATCGCGTCCTCCGTCGAGTCAAAGGCGGTTTGAAACGGGACGTTGCCCTTCCCGTCCGCGGTGGGCGGGGTCGTGAGCGACGCCGCGGCCGCGGCGATCCTCGCGTCGAACTCCTCCGCGGTCTCCTCCGCGAGAGACCCGGCGGCGGCTTCGCGTTTCGCGCGCGCGGCGTCGAGCGCAGCCTTGGCGGCGGCGAGCTCGGCTTCGGCGTCCTCGACGGCGCTGTTCGCCGCCAACTCCGACGCGGATTCCTTCAGCGCCTCCGCGAACGCCGCGTCGCCGAACGCGGCAGCCTTGCGGTCGATGTCCGTGAGATCCGCGCTCTCTTCCGCCATCGCGTTCGCGGCGGCTTCGAGCAACGTCATCTCCTCGAGGAGCGGGGACGCGCGCGCGGCGGCGGCGATCCTCGCCTCGAGATCGTCCATCTCGATCAGGTCGACGGCGGCGCGCGACCGGCGCTGGTCCGCGGGCGGGCGCGCGGGCGCCGGCGCGTCGATCGCGGCCGCGGCGTCGATCGCGGCGATCACCTCCGGGACGTTCACCGCCATCGGCACCGAGGCGACGACGTTGTTGTAGTATCCCGGCTCCGCCGCCACCGCCTGCGCGCGGCGCACCGCGGGCACGAGGGAATGGTCGAACGAGCCGACTCTGCCGTCCTGGCCGTCCACGCACTCGACGTTGTACCGGCGTCTGATCTCGTTCAGGGAGCCGCCGGAGAGGAGCTCGAGCTTGAGGTCGACGAGCGCGGCTTGGTACTCGCGCGATTGCCACTCGCGCGACGTGTTCTCCGGCTTTCCGGCTTCTTCCCACCGCACGTACGCGCGAATCTCCGTGAGGTTCGTCGGTATGTCGACCGCGTTCAGGGCGTCCGCGGGGACGAGCTCGAGGATGCGCTGCTCCACGGCCGCTCGCGCTTCCGCGTTGAGCTTCTCCTCGTCGAAGTGTCCGTCCGCGGCGCCGTCGGCGGACGCGAAGACGCGCGCGGGGCGACGCGCGGCGGCGACGCGCGTCGTGGCGACGCGGACGCGGCCGGCGCCGCGCCTGGCGGCGACGGGCGCGCGCGCGAGCGCGGGGTTCGCGCGCAGCGCGAAGGAAGCCTGCAGAGGAGGATCGCGAGTCGATATCGGGGGCGGCGCGCGGAGTTGTCAGCGTTCGATCGCGACGACGCGACGACGCGTGCGCGCGGGGACGTCGCCGTCCTCTCGCGGTCGTCGGCCGTTGGAAAAACCTGAACGAGGGAAAATGCCAGCGCGGATTGGCGCGCGATGCCGACGCGAGACGTCGCGCGCGCGAGGGACGGACTATCGTCGGACGCGACGCGGTCGAGACGCACCATGGTCGTTGCTTGTGTCGTGTCGCGCGCTGCGTGGAGCGTGCGCCGAGATGAGTGCCGCGGCGGAGCGAGGAATCAAATCGCGTTGTCAGCTCCAAGACGAATTCAAAAAAACGCGGCTGACGAGATGATGCGCGAAAGGACTGACACGCGCGCTGCGCGCCAGCCAGTCCACACGTCGTTGACGACGCGTCGAGGCGCGTCCCACTCGCGCCCCGCGCGGCGGTCGCGTCCGAGCGAGGCATGTCGCGTCTCGCGCGCGACGCCGCGGCGGCGCTCCGGCGAGGTCTCCTCGCGACGCGCCGCGACGCGACGGCCGCGGCGTCCACGTCCGCGGCGACGGTCTCGCGCGGTCGTCGCGCGCGCGCGGTGTCGACGACGACGACGACGTCGTCGTCGTCGTCGTCGTCGGCCGCCGTCGACGCCCGCGACGCCGACGCCGACGCCGCGGACGAGGACGCCTGGGAGACCGTCGTCGGCCTGGAGCTCCACGCGCAGGTCGCCGCGGACACGAAGCTGTTCTCCGGGTGCGTCGGTCGCTCCTCCCTCTCGCGCGACGTCGCGCCTCGCGCGCTCGCCCTCCCTCGTGGGCACCTCGCGTTTCGATCGATCGAACCGTCCTCCGTCCGATCGCCCCTCAAGTGACCCTCCCGTCCCGTCCCGCCCTCCCGCGACACGACAGCGCCGCGCGACAGTACGGAGCGCGCGTGAACGCGAACGTCGCGCCCTTCGACGCCGCGCTCCCCGGATCGCTCCCGAGCGTCAACGCGCGCGCGGTGGAGCTCGCGACGAGACTGGGCGTCGCGCTCGGCGGGGAGATTCATCGCGCGTCGCGGTTCGAGAGGAAGCACTACGCGTACCCGGACCTGCCGCACGGGTATCAGATCACGCAACGGCGCGATCCGATCGTCCGCGGCGGGCGCATCGACGTCGACGTCGGCGCCGGCGCGACGCGGCGGCTGCGTATCGAGCAGATACAGCTCGAGATGGACACCGGGAAGAGCGTCAACAAAACGGGCGGCGGCGGCGGCGGGACGACGACGACGACGATCGACCTGAACCGCGCCGGGTGCGCGCTCGTGGAGATCGTCACGAGACCTGATCTGAGAGGGGGCGAGGAGGCCGCGGCCGCCGCGGAGGCGTTTCAGAAGACGCTGCGGTTCTTGGGCGTCGGCGACGCGAACATGGAGGAGGGGTCCCTACGCGTGGACGTCAACGTCAGCGTGCGAAGGCGAGGCGACGGTGGCGACGACGGCGCCGCGCTCGGCGAGCGGTGCGAGGTGAAAAACTTGAACAGCTTCAGATCGATCGCGTCCGCGGTGCGCTTCGAAGCCAGGCGTCATCGCGAGCTGATCGCGCGCGGGGAGAATGTCGAACGCGAGACGCGGTCGTTCGACCCGGCGAACGGCGAAACCGCGCCGCTCAGGCGCGTTCTATACACTGGTCCCCATACGACCGCGTTGGCGTGGTGAACGCCGATCCTTAAGGACTTTTGCCGGCGTCTCTCTCCGCCCAGGGTCCCTCGCTTTCAATCCCCGCCCTCGAAGCCTTTCAACTCCAACTGACGCCTTTGAACTCCACCCCGACGTTCGCTCGTATGGACCCTCGACCCTCAGAGGGAAGGAGCAGACGTTGGACTATCGGTTCACGCCCGAGCCGGACGTGCCGCCGATAGTGTTGTCCGACGAGTACGTGGCGGCGATCGCGCGCGACACCCCGGAGCTTCCCGACGTCGCGATTCGTCGGCTCGCGGACGTCCGCGGCGACCACGCGCTGCCTCTGAAGCTCGCGACCGCGGTCGCGACGCACGCGTCGACGGCGAGGTATTACGAAGCCGCGCTATCGGCGGCGAAGAGAAGCGCCGCGCCGCGCGACGTCGACGTCGACGCCGCCGCCGTCGCTCGGTTCGTCGTCGGCGAGCTCACGGGCGAGGTGAAGCGAGCGTCCGTGGCCGGGCGCGTGGAGCCGCTCCTCGGACTCCCCGCGCGTCTGAGCCCCGAGCGCGTCGGCGAGCTCCTCGCGGCGGTCGCCGCCGGGGAGACGACGGCGCGGATGGCCAAGGCGCGTCCTATGTCACACTGGTTCCCATACGACCCCGTCGGCGTGGTGCACGCCGATCCTTAAGGACTTTATCTCCCGGCGTTTCTCTCCGCCCAGGGTCCCTCAGTTTCAATCCCGACGCTCACACCGCGACGCCTTTCGACTCCGCTTCTGACGCCTTTCAACTCCACCCCGACGTTCGTCGCTTCGTGCGGAACGACCATCAGGGCGCGCTTCGCGCCGTCGCCGCGGGGGACGAGAGGGGGTGGCGCGACGTCGTCGACGCGCTGTTCCCTCCCGTCGGCGACGGCGAAGGCGGCGGCGAAGGCGGCGGCGACGCGGCCGTGGAGGCGATGTGCCGAGACATCGTATGCGGGATGCCCGAGGAGGTGGCGTTATTCAAGGCGGGAAAGACGCGGCTCATGGGGAAGTTCGTCGGCGAGGCGATGCGACGGACCAACGGTCGCGCGGATCCGAAGGTCGTGTCGCGAGCGTTGACGCGCGCGCTGTCGGAGGAGGTCTAGGTGATCGTGTGTGTTATCAGTCATACCGCTTAGCGTCGTTGGCTCCCCCGGTCGTTCTTTCGCGCCGGTTGACGTTCCGTCTTCCCGCCCTTCCCTCACGCCGGCCGAATCGTCCCGTACGCCACGACGGCGCCGGCGTCGCCGTCGTCCTTCGCGGTGACGAAGTCGTCCGCGCGCGCGCGCACCACCACCGACCGCCCCGCGATGCTGTTCTCCTTCCCGTCTCTCAGGCTGACGTACTGGTCCTTGAACGTCCCGCCGACCGCCCCGGTCTCGTCCGCGACGACGTTCCCCAGATCGCCGATGTGCCGCCACAGCAGGCACCCCTCGCCGACGAAGTGACACGCGGAGGCGCCAAACTTTTTCAACGAGTTCGGACCTCCGTGCGGGCGTTCTTGCGGGTTGAAGCTCTCCCCCGTGCACGCGCCGTCGTCGCAGCTCACGTCGCCGTTGACGTGGACGTTCAGGCCGTGCGGCCCGGGGGACAGGCCCGCGATCGCGGGCGTCACGACGACGATCTCTTGATTCGATTTGTTCAGCGCGGTCTCGAACGTGATGCGACCTCGGACGTCGCTGCCCTTGGTGGGCGCGAGCTCCGCGACGTACGTCGGCGGCGGTTTCGCCGCGAGCGCGACGCCGGGAGAGGACGTCGCGACGAGCGCGATGGACGCGAGCGACGCGCAGAGGCTCGTCGGCCACCCGTCGCGCTGCGCGTCGAGATCGGTGTCGTCGCGCTCGCGGTGCCGAGACGACGACGACGACGACGACGACGACGACGCGCGCGCGACGACGCCAGCGCGCGCGCGGGAGGGCGCGCGACGCGACCGCGGCGCGAGCGCCGCGGTCGCGTTGGACGAAGCGGCGGAGAGCGCGAACATCGACGAAGCACGGCGGGGCGTGTGCGCGCGCAGTGGGAGTGACGACGCGAGTGGATAAGAGTTGGTGGGGTGCGACACTCTCGGATATAAATCGGAACGGGCGCGCTGGCGGAACCGAACAGAACAGAAGGTACAGTACCCACGACGGTCTCGTCGGCGTCACAAGCTACTACAGTACACGCTACCGCGTCGACCACCCACGACTCAGAACCCGTTCGTCTTGAAGTTCGAGATCCACTCGTACTTCTTCTTCAGGTTCAGCCCGCGCGCGCTGTCCATCCGCTTCTCGTCCCCCTTCTTGCACCACTTCCCCTCCGGCCCCGTGTCCGCGGTGACCACGACGTGGCACTCGCTCTCCTTGTGATACTTCCCGTCCCAACACCGCACGTACCCGCCCCTCGCGAAGCTCTCGCGCATCTCGCTGATGAGCTCCCACGCCATGTCGCTCTCCTCCGCGCCGCCGATCGCGTACTTCACCGCGATCGCCTCCGACGGAAGCGGATCCTTCGCCCACAGCGGCGGCAAGCCGTACGTCGTCGGATCAGGGGTCCACTCTGGATCCGCCAGCCTGCGATCGATGTCGTCGAGCTCGTCCCTCCAGCTGATGAGTCTTCGACACTCGTCGTTCGTGAGGCCCTCGGGGCCGATCTTATTCACCGCCGCGAGCGTCTTGGCCACGAACTTGATCTCGGAGATCTCGAGGCCCTTCAGGCGGCCCGGGACCTTATCGGACGCCTTCCACTTCACGTCCGCGGGGTTCGCGCCCGCGGCGATCACCTTCGCCTCCAACGTCGGAATCAGCTCCTCCTCGAGCTCGGTCTTCCTCTCGCGGTCTGCCTCTCTCGACACGCGCGTGTGCTCCTTCTTCAGCCAGTCCGAGTCGTCCTTCAGGTTCTCTTTCATCGCGGTGACGACGTACGGCTCGACGGGGACGTCCCTTCCGAGCGCGCCGAGCTCTCTGTACCCGCGCGCTTTCGATCGCCGCAGCTCCGGCATGTAGTCCTCGAGCTCGAGAGCGTCGAAGTCTCGCAAGCTCCCGTCCTTGGCGACGACGAGGCCTTTCGTCCTGTCCTTCCAGTTATCCGGCTCCAACTTCGTGTGCGTGTAGTAGTTATCCATCGCGTGTTTGAGTTTCTGCGCTCGATTTTTGATCACGCGCGTGCCCGCCTTTTCCTCCTCCGCCTCGCTGGGGAGAATTTTACACGGCGTGTCCGGTCCCCGGTGCGGGTAGTCCGTCGTCAACGGCGGGTTCGCGTCTAATATTTCCTCCAGACGCGGTCCACTCATGACGTCATTCTCCAGAAGTTCTTCGTACGCCACGTCGAACGCGGGCTGGTACGCGCGCACGATCGCCTTCGCGTTCTCCAACGCCTCGTTTAAGATCTGCATCATCTTCCGCTCTGCGTACTGATAATGATCCAAGTCGACGTCTCTTCCGTACCCGTGAATCTTACGGTTGTAGTCGTGACGGTTCATCTCCCCGGTGCTCGCGACTCTCGACTTCCGCGTCTGAATCGTCCGCTCGGGGGTAAACAGCGAGTCCGGGTTGTACGTGTACGTCGTCACCGCGTTCGGCTGCCCGAGCGCGTAGTTCACGACGACGTTTCGAACTAAATCGTTCGCGTCTCGGACGTCATCCTTGCTCATCGTCGTGATGTTTGTCCCAAAGTACACCTGCTCCGCGGCGAGCCCGGCGAGCAAGACCTGGACGCGCTCTAAGAGACGCTGGCGCGTGGGGAACATGTACTCGGCGTCCGCTTTTCGGTTGTACGTCGTCTGCGTCGGGTCTCTCCCGCGCGGGATGATCGACACGCGTTCCACCGCCTCGATGAGTTTGTTGTGACGGTACAACACCGTCGCGACGATCGCGTGCCCGAGCTCGTGCCTCGTGAGCCTGTGCACGACCGGATTGTTCTTGTCCATCAGCGGTTTCTTCAGCCCGTTCGTGACCCTGTCCACGGCGTCGATGACGTCGCAGGTTTCGATGAACTCCCCGCCGCGGCGCACGGAAATCGTCGCGGCTTCGTTGCAGATGTTCGCGAGCTCCGCGCCGGAGAGCCCGGGGAGGTTCTTCGCGAACTGCATCGTGTCGATGTTCGGATCCACGTTCCTCTTTGCGAGATGAATCTGAAGAATCTTCGCGCGCGCCTCCAGCCCAGGCTGCGGGACGGTCACCTTGCGATCGAACCGTCCGGGACGCATCAGCGCCGGGTCGAGGAGGTCCGCTCGGTTCGTCGCGCCTATGAAAACGACCCCGGTGTCCGGGGTGAACCCGTCCATCTCGGTCAACAGCTGGTTCAGCGTCTGCTCGTGCTCCTCCGTCCCTCGCGTCCCCGCCGCCGCGCGCTTCGTTCCGAGCGCGTCGATCTCGTCCACGAAGATGAGACACGGCGCGTTGAGCCGAGCGCGTTTGAATAAGTCGCGCACCCGCGCGGCGCCGACGCCGACGATGATCTCTACAAACTCCGCGCCGGACATGGAGTAGAACGGCACCGCAGCCTCGCCCGCGATCGCTTTCGCGATGAGCGTCTTCCCGACCCCGGGCCCGCCCTCCATGAGCAGCCCTTTCGGCGGCTTCGCGCCGAGGCGTTTGAACGACTCTGGGTTTTTCAGAAACGCGATCACCTCGTTGAGATCCTCGACGATGTTCTCCAATCCGCCGACGTCCTCCAAGGTGACGTCCACCTGCGCGTCCTTCCTCGCGTCCGCCCTGGACTGCGCGAACTCCATCGCTTGAATCGCGTCCGTCGGTATGGAGTGTTTTCGCATGATCCCGAGGTAGATGGATCCCGTCAGGAACACGAACCCGCCGACGGCGGAGCCCAGGTATTGAATCGTCGAAAACTTGTTCACGTCTGGCTTCATGTGATACGAGTACCACGTCCGGTTCTGCTCCGCGTGCTCGATGAGCGCGGCGTCGAGCTCCTCGTTCACGCTGTCGACCCAGTGCTTCGTGCCGTTCGTCAGCGTCAAGAGATACTTGCGCTGCGGCGGCACCTCCGAGTCGAACCATTTCGGCGGCCACTTGGACTCCGGGAGTCGCTCCTTCGGGTCCCAGATCTCCATCTTTCGCACGTTCCGCGCGGTGATCTCCGCGACCATGCGCTTCGTGGACATGACCGGGATCTCCTTCCAGTTCGGCTCGATCAAGTCCGGGTGCGTCCCGAGCATCTCGAGGTTCACCGTCGGGACGTCCTTGCCCACGACGTCGCTGGAAGTCACCAGGGCGTCTTTCGAGCGCATGTCGCCAATCATCGGTCCGCGCGTCGCGATGCGATCCCTCGCGCGCTCGCTGAAGAGGCGGTAGTTGGGGTTCGCCTCGCGCAGCTGCTGCGCCCACTCCGCGTCGGTCATCCCTTTCGGCTTCAAGTTCGCGCGCGCGACGTTCAGGTCGCCGCGCCGCGCCGCGCGTCGGCCCTCGCCAAGCGCGCGTCCCGGGGCGGCGGACGTCGACGCCGCGACGTCGGGACGAAGAATCGACGCGCCGGGCGGTGAATTCGCGGCGGCGACGACGCGCGAGCGCGCGCCGACGCGCGCCCGACGCGCGCGCGGCCGCGCGGGGATCGACCCCGCGCCCGAGACCGCGGCGCCAGACCCGAACTGCGTCTGCATCGCGGCGCGTGGCGCGGACGCGAGGCGCACTGAGAAGCGCGACGGCGGTCGAGCCCTAGGTTTTTGGTGCGCGCGCCGACTCGGAGCGGAGGCGCGCCGCGCCGGCAACTGCGATGAACAGCCAGGCAGAGAGACCACGTGCATTTTTTCAGCGAGCGAGCGGGTTGTTACGTAAAGTCGACTACGAAGGTACCTACGCGGCCACCGGCAGCGTGAACGTGATCCGCCCGCGCGCCCTGTTCAACCGCGCGGGAACGCCGTCCACCGCGTTCGCGTCCACCGCCGCGGGCAGCGCCACGTCCGCGCGGTACCGCCCCGGCACGCGCACGTGGAGCGTCGTCCGCGGCGGGCAGCTCCGCGGATCCGTCGACGTCTCCGCGAGCACCTCCGGGCCGTTCCATACAAAGCGATGTCGGGGTGGAGTTCATAGGCGTCAGTTGGAGTTGTGAGGCGTCGAGGTGTGTCGGGATTGAAAGCGAGGGGTGGGCGGAGAGATGCGCTGGGAAACGTCCTTAAGGATCGGCGTTCACCGCGCCGACGCGGTCGTATGGGGACCAGTGTACAGAACGCGCCTCCGCGGACCGACGCACGCCGGGGACGTCGACGACGACCTCGATGCTGCCGCCCGCGCCGTCGCTCGTGCGCTTGTCGAGGACGTCCACACGAGGCGGCGTCCGTTCGCGGGAGGCGTCGTCGGCGGCGGAGTCGTCGTCGGAAGCGGTGGCGGAGTCGGCGGCGGCGGCGTCGGCGGCGGCGGCTCTCGACGCGCTCCGCGTCCTCGGCGACGAGAGCCCCATCCCGCGCACGAGCTCGTCCAAATCTTCGATCTGCGTCTCCACGGACGCGTCGTCGTCGTCTTCTTCTTCTTCGTCTTCTTCTTCTACTACTTCTCCCTCCGAGATGGACGACGGGTCCCCCGCCGGGTCCGCGGCGGCGGCGCGCGCTCTCGCGGCTTCGTACCTTGTCAAAAACTCGGCGTGCTCGTCCGCTCGCGCGCGCGTGCGCGCGAGCACGGGCATGACAACCTTCATCACCCTCGTGGACGCGTCGAACATTAACTCGGACGCGTCGTCGTCCACGGGGAACGGCGTCGCGAGGTCTAAGGACACGACCCCCGCCGCCGCGCGGCGGTCTCTCCGCGTGCCAACCGACAGCTCCCGGGACGTCATCCGCACGCGGACGTCCCTCGCGCTCGCGACGGTCGGCATCTCGATGTCGCACACGATGCGCTGCGGCCAGGTCGACGCCTCCGCGGCGTCGTCGTCGGCGTCGGCGTCGGCGTCGGCGTCGGCGTCCACCCCGGTGTCGTCGTCCGAGGAGTCGTCCGAGGAGTCGATCCCGCTTCGCCGCCGCCGCCGCGCCGCCGCCGCCGCCTCCGCGCGTCCGGTTTGCTTCCCTATGAACGTGAAGACGTGCTTCGGCGTCGTCGGGGTCTGGTCCACCTCCGCCGCGACGGCGAGCGGCGTCTCCTCCGCGCTCGCGGGCGCTGCCGTCCGCGATCGGGACGTGGCCGCGGTCGCCGACGCCCGAGCTTTCCTCCGCGCCCGCACCCGAGCCTCTCTCGCCTCGGCCGCCGCGATCAACGTCGTCATCCTCTCGTGTTCCTCCGCCGTTCGAATCCTCGGCGCCTCGCGCACGCGCTCGCGCTCGTAGAAGAGCAGGTACGCCTTCTGCTTCAATACCGTCGCCTCGTCCGTCTCCGTGACGCGCCCGTCGTCGCACTTGCACCACGTCACGTCGTCGTTGAGTTTCACGAAGGAGACGTAGTGCCCCGAGTGCGCGGAGCCGCAAAAATCGAGGTGCACGACGACGCCGTAGAGCGCGTACGTCGGCGGCGCGTCGCCCTCGAGCGGCGCGTCCGAGGACATGTACGGCGACAGGTCAAGATGCACCGGAAACTCGACCCATTTTGTGATTTTACTGAAACGCCCGATTTGGAACCGTTTCAGCGGCACGACGAGAACGTTCGGGGATACGTGAATCTTGCTCCCTTTCGTAGCCCTGACGTACGCGTCGCAGCGACCGCACTTGTACTTGTTGTTTCCGTCCAACGTCTCCACGTCCACGAAGTTCGCCTTAAAGCTCGCCTCGATCGACGGCGCCCCGCGCGCGCTGACCTCCACCGGGACGTCGATCATGCTCTGGTAGTTTCTCGAGTGGTGCCCGCAATCGCCGCACACGACTTCCCCGCACGTGTATCCGCCGAAGACGTGATACGTCATCGTCGTCTCTTGCGTGCGCTGATCGAGCGTCTTCTCCGCGTCCTCGCCCGCGTGCTCTTTCAGCCACCGCACGTGCATGGCGTCGAGCAGACCGCGAATGTACTCGTGCGAGTCCTCTTGGCGGCCGCGGACGAAATGCTTCGCCACCTTGCCGATGGAGGACGTGAGCTTCCCGATGCTGAACGCGTCCGCGGGGTCCGCGTCGAGCGCCTTCCGGACGTGCGCTTGGTACTCGCACGTCACGCAGAACGTCCCGCCGCGCGCGGCGCCGCAGCTCTCCGCGTCGTGCGTCTCCGTCGCGAAGTGCGCGGTGAACAGCCGAGTGTGGTAGAGGCACTGCAGCGCGCTCGCGGCGAAGCACGTGTTGCCGCTGTTGCGCAGTCCCGCGGGCGCGCGATCGAACCTCTCGCCGTCGATCTCATCGCGCCATCTCGCGAGGACGTCGGCGACGCGGTCGTACGCGTGGACGTGCTTCGCCGGCGCGAGGAGGCCGACGCTCTCGACGTCCTCCACCTCCGGCTCCGGCGCGAGTCTCGCGTCGTCGTCGTCGTCGTCGTCGTCGTCGTCCCCCATCGCTCGCGCGCGATCGCCGCCTCGGACGAGAAGCGGAGCGAACGCGAACGCCCGCCGGAGCGCGCGCGCGACGCGCCAGCGCAGGTACGCGAGATACGTCGGGTTCGTGCACGCGAGGACGAGCACGACCGTCACGAGGAGCGGGTAAACGTCCGTGATGACGACGCCCGCGCGGGTTCGCCCTGCGTGGCACGCGAGCAGCGCGCCGGATCGAAGTGCGCGCGCGTGAGGTGACATCGACGGGAGTTCGTCCGAGCAGTGACAGCTGTTCTCTCGTCATCACAAAAAGCGTACTGTACTCAACTCTCCATCGCCTGCACCGTCGCGTGCACGAGTCGATCGAGCGCGTTCACCTCGCGCGTCAATCTCGGGTGCCGCCGCGCCTCCTCGGGCATCTCCTTCACGCTGCGCGCGATGCCCTCGACGAGCGTCGCGATCTTGCTCTCTAAGATGGTCTTCAGCGCGCTCCTCTCTCGCGCGAATCCCTCCACCTTTTCGTTCGCGACGGACGCCTCCGCGGCGGCTTTGGACTTGACGCGCTCCAGCTCCGCGCTCGTTCCGCCGCGCGTCTGCATCGCCGCGCGCTTCAGCTTATTGTTCTCGTCCTCCAGCGCGTGCAGCTTCGCGTTCTTATCCTCTAAACGGCTCGCCATCTCCTTGCGGAACTGCTCGTATTGCGTCTCCACGATTTTCACGCGCGCCGCGTCGGCGCCGCCGCCGCCGCCATCCCCGGCCGACGGGGGTTTCAGTTTCAACCCCCTCGCGCGATCGAGCTCCGCCTCGAGGTCGCGGCGTCGCTCCTCCGATCGTCGGAGCTCCACCCGCAGCGCGTGCTCGCTCTTGCTCCGCTCGCCGCCCCACCCGGCGCCGGGCCGCGAGGGGGACCCCCCGCCGCCGCCGCCGCCGCCCGTCGCGCCGCCGCCGCCGCCGCCGCCGCCCGTCCCCGCCCAGCCGCCGAGCGCGTCCACGAGCCCCGGGTTCCGCTGCGGCGACTCCGCGTTCGACTGCATCGCCGCGCGTCGTAACGCGATGAGCTCCGCGGTCTTCCCGTCCAGCGCGTCCTCCACGCGGCGGTACTCCTTGTCGTACGCTTTCAACTCCTCTTGCATGCGGATTATCGTCTCGTCGCGTTCGTTGAGACGCGCGGTGAGCGCGATCATGATGTCGCGCTGTTTCAAGAGGACAGCCTTGTACCGCCCGACTTGCGCGCGGCCCTCCTCGGCCTCTTGCCGGTCGTGCTCGAGCTCGCGCATCTTCCCTTCGTACTCCGTGCGAATGCGCTCGTGCTCTTCTTGGAGCATCGCGCGGAATTGCGGGGTGTCGCCGCCGCCGAGCATCTGCGATTGCATCGCCTCGATCGCCTGCTCCAAATCCCGCTTCTCTCTCTTCTCCTTGAGAAACTCTTGCGACCGCGCTTCGAGTTCCGTGATGGCGCGCATCTTATCCGCCTCCGCCTTCCTCCGCTGCTCGTCCAGCTGCAACAGCGCGCGCTTGTCCACGAGGTTCTTCGTTCGCTCGTCGAGCTCTTGCCGCAGCCGCTTCAGCTCGCGCTCGTACTTCCGAAGGAGCGACTTTTGATCGAGGTCCTCGTTCACGCGCGCGGTGTTCTTGATGAACTTCGCCCTGTTCGCGAACTTCAGCGTCGAGAGCGACTCCGTGAACGCCTCCAACGCCGGGGATATCATCGCCATCATCGTGGTCTTGCAGTTACCCCCCAACGAGTCCTCGAGGATGCGCGTCAGCTTCGAGTCGCGGTACGGCACGTGCGACCGCGTGCCGTTCTTAGGGCCATTCCACACAAACAGTTCTCCGGTCAGTTGAAATGGGTTGCGATCAAGTGTTGAAACCGGGCGATGGGTGAAAAACTTTTGTATAGAACGCACCTTATCCGTCAGCGCCTTGATCACGTTCCCGAGCGCGCTGAGGCTCTGGTTGATCTTCTTCGTCTCCTCGAGGCGCACGCCGGTCGCGCCGGACTGCCTCACGCGCTCGCTTCCCGCGAGGTCCACGAGGTTCAACTTGCCAACCTTGAACGACTGCCGAAGTTCTTGCCGACCGGGCTCCTCCTCGAGCTTACTGTTTTCGACGATGATGATAAACACCGCGTGCGACCGCGACGAGAGCTCGTTCATCTTCGTGCTCCCGGTCGTCCGCTGCGTCGCGCCCTTCTCCATGAGGCCGTAGATCTCGTCGGGGGTCCGCACCACCCATTCGGACAGCCCGTCGACGAAGACGCCGCGTTTTTTATCCTCGCGAATGTTCAAATTCGCGCGCTCGGGCTTCAAGAGGTCGCTGATCACCTCGTTGTATATCTGCACGTACGACGCGCGGACGAGGTACTTACTCCGCGTCGACGTGTCGCTCTTGATGTGCCCGAAGATATCCTCGATCGCCCTCGGAATGATCCCGCGTTCCGTCCCGGACGCGGACGCGTCCCCGGGTTCCCCCGGAAGTCGCCCGGCGCCGCCTCCGTGCGCGCGCGCCTTCATGGACGCGCGGTCGCCCTCCATCGTGTACGTCTTCCCCGTGCCCGTCTGCCCGTACGCCATCATCGCCGCGTTGTATCCCAACAGAGTGCTCATCACCGCCGGCTTCGCGGAGTTTTCGTACACGGTCTCTTGGCTCGCGTCTTGGTCGTACACGTGATCGAACGTGAACTGATGCGTGTTTTGCACCATCCCGTTCTCCCCGACCGGGTTCACGCCGTGCCGCCACCCTTCCAAGTTTTCCGACAGCGTGCACACCGCGCACGACGTGTCCACCGCGACGGAGGGCTGGTAGCGCTTCCCCGCGCCGAGCTCCCTCGCGAGCGGCGGCCTCACGCGGATCACCACCTTGAAGTTCTCGTTCGTCGTGTGATATACGTCGCGCGATGATGCGCCGTTCGGGACCGCGGACGCGAACCCGCTGGACGGGCGCGCGTGCTTCGCCGCGGGCGTGGGCGGCAGGGACTCCCCGCCGGGGGACGGCGGGACCATCCACGCGCCGCCGATGCGATCGTCGTCGTCGGAATGGTCGCGCGACGCGCCCATCGCGACGCGGCGATCGACGACGGACGGAGGAGGTGCAGTGCGCGTCGATCCACGTCGCCAACGGCTTTTCTAGCTAGCTCGTAGACGAGCTAGACGCCAAGATCCGCGCGCGACGGCGCCGGCGCCGCCTCCGCCGGGTCGCGCGCGCGCGCCGCGGAGGGTCGCCTGCGTCGACCTCGCGCGATTCGTGCGCGTGCCGCCCCGCGGACGCTTCTGAGGACGCGCGCCGTCGCGGCCGCGGAGAAGCCCCCCGGATGTCTTTCCCCCGCCTGCGACCGCTGAGAGAGGAGCTCCAGTCCTGTCGACGGCCGACCGCGCGCCGAGCGCCGACCGCGCCGACCACTCCGCGCCACGAGAGAACCGAACCCTCGGTCGCCATTGCACGGGTCGCGCCGCCGACCGATCGCGCGCCGCCGCGACACGATGGCCGCCGATCTCGCCTCGATGGACCTCTCCTCGCTCAAGGCGCAGCTCGCGACCGTCGCCGCCGCGGTCGACGCCAAGGAGAAGGCGCTCGCCTCCGACGCGTCCGCCGCCGCGATCGCGATCCGATGCCCGTACGGCAAGCTGTACGAGCGCGTCGCCGTGAGCGCGATCCACGCGAGCGACGGGCAGGGCGCGTCGCTCATCGGCGCGACCGTCGTCGTCGGCGGGTGGGTCAAGACGGGTCGCGTCGCGGACAAGGGCGCGCTCGCGTTCCTCGAGCTCAACGACGGCAGCGGGCCGACGAACCTGCAGTGCGTCGTTAAAGCGGACGTGCACGCGATCGACGAGCTGAAGTCCACGGGCACGTGCGTCGTCGTCGAGGGCGAACTCCGCGCGCCGCCCGAGGGCGCGACCGGGCAGATCGTCGAGCTGCACGCGACCAAGGTGCTCCACGTCGGGGCGTGCGACGCGGCCAAGTACCCGATCGCGAAGAAGAAGATCTCGCTCGAGTACCTCCGCGATAAGATCCACCTGCGGACGCGCACGAACACGATCGCCGCCGTCGCGCGCATCCGAAACGCGTTGTCCTTCGCGACGCACAGCTTCTTCAATAAGAATGGGTTTCTGTACGTGCACACGCCGCTGATCACGCAGAGCGACTGCGAGGGCGCCGGGGAGATGTTCCAGGTGACGACGCTGCTCGGCGCGGTAGACGAGGCGACGACGGAGCCGCCGCCGCCGTCGGCGGAAAACGTGGAGAAGCTCCGAGACGACGTCGCCGCCGCGGGCGCGACGGTGGCGAAGCTGAAAGCGGCCGCGAAAGAGGAGGGCGGGGACAAGGCCGCGGTCAAGCCCGCGGTGGACGAGATGCTCAGGCTGAGATCCCAGCTCGAGGAGATGGAGAAGGCGTCGCGCAAGGTTGGCGGGTTATTCCGAACCGCCGACGGCAAGGTGGACTACGCGAAGGACTTTTTCGGAGAGCCGACGTTTCTCACCGTGTCCGGGCAGCTCAACGTGGAGACGTACGCGTGCGCGATGAGCAGCGTGTACACGTTCGGGCCGACGTTTCGGGCGGAGAACAGCAACACGACGCGGCACCTCGCGGAGTTTTGGATGATCGAGCCGGAGATCGCGTTCGCGGATCTCGCCGACGACATGCGGTGCGCGGAGGACTACGTCCAGTATTGCCTGCGACACGTCCTCGAGCACTGCCGCGGCGACCTGGAGTTCATAAGCAAGATGTACGACAAGGAAGCCCTGGAGCGCGTGAAGCACGTGTCGGAGACGCCGTTCGGGAGAGTGTCGTACACCGAAGCGATCGACCTCCTTGAAAAGGCGGTCGCGGACGGGAAGACCTTCGTCTACCCCGTCGAGTGGGGCATCGACCTCGCGACGGAGCACGAGCGGTTCCTCGCGGAGGAGATCTTCAAGAGACCGGTGATCGTGTACAACTACCCGAAGGACATCAAGGCGTTCTACATGCGTCTGAACGAGGACAACAAGACCGTCGCGGCCATGGACGTCTTGGTCCCGAAGGTGGGCGAGCTCATCGGCGGGTCGCAGCGCGAGGAGCGCATCGACAACTTGGAGGCGCGGATGCGAGAGATCGGGCTCGATCCGGAGGAGTACGAGTGGTACCTGGACCTGCGCAGGTACGGCACCGTCGTGCACAGCGGGTTCGGGTTGGGGTTCGAACGGTTGGTGTTGTTTTGCACGGGGATGGAAAACATTCGCGACGTGATTCCGTTTCCGCGGTGGCCGGGGAACTGCAAGTGAGGAGGGAGGGAAGGTTCGCGCGTCGGTCGCGGGGAAGGTTCGGTTCGCGCGCGCGGAGACCGCTCGAACGACGCGACGAAAGATTTATTTTTCAGCTCATACGAACGAGTACCGCCCAGCCTCGTATCCTCGTTTCCATCCGTCGCCACGCACGGTACCGCGCGACGACGCGACTGCTATCGCTAACTTACGACTACGAGATGTCACGACCGACGCGCTCGAGCGTCAGAACACCGTCCCCGAAGGCGTCCTCGACACGCGTTGCGCCGCGACGTCCGACCTGAGAGGCGGAAACTGAAACACGCACACGCCCGCGTCCTCGTCGAAGAACCTGACCGGGAACCGCGCGAACGACGGCAGGAACCCCGCGTTCCCGAGCCCGTTGACGAGCGCGTCCATCGCGCCGAGCGCCCCGCCGCCCTCGGCGCCCGCCCTCGCGGGGTTATCCCGCGGCGACGCGCCGTCTCGCCCCACCCAGAACGAGTCGAACGCGAGCGTCACCTCGTCGACCCCGCTGGCGTCCACGCGCCCCGACGCGCTGAGCCAGCCCGCGAAACCGCCCGGGGTCACGAACCGCACGTCGCTTCGTATCTCTCCGCGCGCGCCGATCGTGTATCGCACCGGCTTGAACCGCATGCCGATCGGTGAGGACAGGTTGAACATGTGCGGCATGTTGAACACCTCGTACACGCCTTCGCCCGCGGCGATCACGTCCGACGCGGTCGCGTCGTCGGAGGAGCCCAGGCGCGCGGACGCGACGAGCGTCTCGACCGCGCGCGCGACGTCGCCGTCGGGCTTGGACGCGTACAGATCTGCGCCGTTCGTCGCGATCGAGTCCGCGCACGTCAGGAGCGCGTCCGCGACGTCGACCGAGGAGGAGGACGACGAGGAGGACGCGCGCGCGATCGTGGAGACGAGTCGAACGGGCGGCGCCGCGACCGATCGCCCGGGGGCGACCGACGTCGACGACGCGCGCGCGGTGATGGAGGAGGGCGACGCCACCGAAGGCGGCGGCGGCGGCGTCGTCGTCGTCGTCGTCGCGAGGGACACGAGCGGCGTCATCGTGGCTCGCGCGACGTGTTGTGCGCTCGCGACGAGGTGACGATGACGTGGCGTAGAAGAGAGCGGCGTCGCGTCGGGATATCCGAAACGGTTCGCCGCGCCGCTCGGCCGTCGCCGCCGTCCTCGCTAAAGTGCGTTCAATCTAAACTACGTCCTATGTGTGTACGCTATCGACGCCGTTCGTTCATCGTCGACGGTACCCGAGCCCGTGTATCCCGCTCCTCGCGCCCGGGTCGGGGTCGACGCCGCCGTGCTCCCCTCCGCCGCCGCCGCCGCCGTCGTCGTCGCTCCAGTCGTCCTCCTCCGCGCCCGCGGCTCTGCGGTGCTCCGCGGTGGCGCGGAACGGACGATACACCCCGCGCTCGCCGCGGTCCGTCCCGGGGGCGATCGCGCGGAACCCGAGCCCGGTCGCGCGCGACCCGGGTTCGACTTCCATCGGCGTCGCGTGCGCGCGCCACACGAGGACGTGACGGTCTGCGCCGCCGGTGTACACTTCCCCCGAGTGCGCGTGCACGGCGACCGAGGACGCGGCGGCGAGGTGGCCTTTCAGGAACGAGAACGGTCGCGGCCCACCACCGCGACGACGCGAACCGTCGCCGTGAAGTCCACGCATTCGACCGCCGCGGCCTCGGCCGCGGCCTCGCGCGGCCGAGGCTCCCCGACCTCGACTCGCGGTCGCGCCGCCGCCGCCGCCCTCGTCGTCGTCGTCGTCGCCGCCGCCGCCGCCGCCGCCGCCGCCGTGGACGTCGAACACGAGCACGTCGCCGTCGCTCGACGGATGATACGCGCGCTTCCCGTCCGGGGACACGCCCAACGTCGTCGCCTTCTTCGCGTCGTTCGGGCACTCCCCGAAGTCTCTCTCGACTCTCAGACCGGTCGCGAGGTCCCAGAGGTATATTCTATTATCCGTGCCCGCCGTGAGCAGGTGCAAGCCGTCGGGGGTGCACGCGACCGCGGTGACCCTGCCCGCGTGCGCGCCGCCGGTAGCCGCTCTCGCGGGAATGGTGCCCGCCGCCGCGACGCCGCCATTCCCGCCGCCTCCGTCTACTAGCGCGTTCGCGGCGCGCCGGAAGCCCATGCCCCACCCGCCGCCGCCGCCGAAGCCGCGTCGGTCCCTCGCGAACGCGCGCCCGCCGCCGCCGCCATTCCCGCCGCGGCCGAAGGAACTCCCGCGGCAGCGCACCGCGTCGTCGCTCCACAGGTGCTCCGGCACGCTATCCGCCGCCCGTCGCGTCGGCGGCGCGGGCCCCGCGAGCGTCGGCCGGCGATCCTCCGGGAACGTCGTCGCGCTCGCCAACGCGTCCACCGCCGCGGTGGCCCCCGCGTTGGCGCGATCCAAAACCATAAACGCGCCCGCCCTTCGCACGTCCCATAGCCGAACGTCGCCCTCGCCGCCGCCGCTGACGAGCACGTACTCGCTCCCGCGCGCCCACTCCAGCGCCCACACCGCGTCTCGGTGCCCGCTCAGCGCGTGCGTGACGTTCCCGCTGACCGGGTCGCAGAGCTTCACGACGGGATGGGCGAGCCCGCACGCGACGAGCGCGTGCGTCGCGCCGCCTGCGTGGGTGAAGCGATCGGTCAGTCGAACGTCTTACGGTCAAACGTTGAAAGGGAAGCGCGGGTGAAGAGTGACGACGGGAAAAGTCCTTAAGGAACGGCGTGCACCACGCGAACGGGGTCGTACGGGGAGCAGTCTCACCGCCGCCGCCGCCAATTCCGCCGCCGCGTCCGCCCTTCGCCGTCGCGATGCAATACACCTTGTCCTCGAACGCGAAGTCGACGACGCGTGCGCACGCGTTCGCGTCCCACCCCGCGACGGTCTGATCGAACGACGCGGTGAAGAACATCCCGGTGTCCACCGGATACCAATCCACCGACGACACCGCGAATGCGTGCCCCGGCGATCTCGCCGCGCCGTCGCCGGCGCCGCGCCGCACGCGCAGGATCGGGTCGTGCGTCGCGACGCCGGTGCGCGGATCCACGCGCGACGGCTGCGCGGTGTCGTACACCGCGATCGTCGCGTCCGTCGCGCCCGCGAGCAGGTACCGGTGCTCGGTCTCGTCCACGCGCAGCGCGTTGACGCCGGACGCCCACGGCATCGACAGCGTCTTGTCCCCCGCGAGCGACAGCGCGTCGCGGCGTCGCGACGCGACGTCCGCGAGGAAGGCGCGCGGGCGCGCGAGCCCGAGCTCGCGGTTCGCGAGCGACGCGCTCGTGGGGTACCACGCGTCGCCCGGAGAGGGCGACATCGCGCGCGCCGCTCGCGCCCGGCGACGTGGTCGTCGTCGTCGCTCGCTCCCGCGCGTTTACGTTTCTCACGGCGTCAGGTCGCAGCGTCGCCGACCGCGGTCGAGTGCCAGGTGGCATTGACCGATCTCATCGGCACTCGAGACGCGCGCGCGGCACGTCGGCGTCGGCGCTCGCTCGTCCGCGCGCGCTCTCGCGACGTCTCGTCGCCCCCGTGAACCACGCGCGCGCGGCGGAAGCGGCGGCGCGACGGGGTAGGAGGAGCGGCCGCTTCGGCGTCGGAAGCGCGCCGTCCGTCCGTCCGTCGATCCGGTCCGATCCGATCGTTGGCTTCTGAGCGCCGTTCTCCGATCGCGCCGTCGTCGATGCTCGCGTTCGCGCGGCCGCTCGCGCGGTCGACCGCGCGCGTCGGCGTCGCGCGCTGGCATCGCGAGACGCGCGGCGGCGGCGTTGGCGCGGGTCGATGCGTCGCCGCGCGCGCGGCGTCCTCGTCCGCGGCGTCCTCGAGCGACGCGCCGTCCTCGAGCGACGCGCCGTCGTCCTCGTCCTCGTCCTCGCCCGAGACGCCGACGTCCGATCCGAACGCCAGCGCGACGGAGATATCGCGCGCGGAACTCCTCGCGACGTCCACCGCGGTTCGACTCGCGTCGTACGTGTACAAGGTGGGCGACGTCGAGCCGTGGGTCGCGAGCGACGGGTTCGTGCTGCGCGCGCACGGGATCACGGACTGCACGCGATGGTACGTTTGCGACAAGCTCGTCGGCGACGACGGCGACGCGAATGATGATTCGAAATCGCCGTCCGCCGCGACGACGACGGAGCGTTGGTTCGTCGTCCGCGGCGCGGCGTGGAACAACGAGGCCGTGGACCGCTTCCGCCTGAGCGCGCAGATCGCGAAGATGTGGCCGACGCCGCTGCACCCGGGGGTGCCCGCGGTGTGCCACGCGGGCGTCGCGGAGATGACGGACGCGTTCTGGCCGGAGATCTCGCCGCTGATCGCCGCCGCGCCGATGAGCGCGACGCTGCACTTCACCGGGCACTCCCTGGGAGGGTCCATGGCGACGATGCTCGCCGCGTGGGCGCGGCTGCGGCTCGGCGTCGACCCGGCGAAGGTGGCGCCCGTGCACACGTTCGGGTCCCCGCCCGTGCTCGCGCTCGACGGGTGGGAGCTGCGGAAGAGGCGCGGGAACGAAGCCGCGGGGGGCGTCGCGCGCGCGGTGAGACTGCTTCCCATACGACCCCGTTCGCGTGATGCACGCCGATCCATAAGGACTTTTCCCGTCGTCACTCTTCACCCGCGCTTCCCTTTCAACGTTTGACCGGTAAGACGTTCGACTGACCGATCGCTTCACCCACGCAGGCCGCCGCCGGGTCGGATTGGATGGGCGCGCTGATGACCGCGGCGGGGGTGAACGGCGACGGCGACGGGGTTCCGGGTGCCGTCAAGGAGAGGAGGCGGTCGGGAGGGACCCCACAGGGGTCCGCGGGCGACGTGGAAGATGGAACGTCGACCGTCGCGGGCGGGTCCGGGACCGGGTCGATCGACGACGACGACAAGGAGGAACGATCATCGCGTACCGACGGCGCCGACGCGAACGTCCTCGACCTCGCCGGCCTCGATAACGGCGTCCGCGCGTTCGTCCTGAGTAACGACCCGGTGCCGCGGATGTGGCTCGCCGCGGACCCTCTGTTCGGCGCCGCGGTCGCGAACGAGACGGTCGTGAACGTCCTCAACGCGCGCGAGTGGCTGTTCGGTCCGGGCATCGTCACGAAGAAGCGGTTTCTCTACGAAGCCGCGGGGACGCTGTGCTGGCTCGACTGGTCCGCCTCCGACGGCGCGTCGCTGTCCGTGCACGTCGGCAGCGAGAACGTCCTGAACCGACTGACGTTCGGAAGCGGGAGAGGGAGAGACGACGACGTGTTCGCGACGCGCGCGATGGACGCCGCGCGCGGGGCGTTGGATCACAACATGCAGTCGTACTTGGACGCGGTGCAGTACGTCGCGATGAAACGGCTCAACGGGCTCGACGCGGAGGGCGGCGGGAGGATGTCGCCGCGCTGAAGACGTCGTCTCGTCTCGTTCGCGCGTTATTCGACGTGTTGTCGTTTGTCGTCGTGTACGCGTTGTTTACCTTAGTACGTGTTGCTGTTGTATAGCAGAAGTTGATTATTGGAAACGGATACAGGTATTGAATTATGCGCGAGTCGATCGCCGACCCGCCGCCGCGACGTCCCTTCGGCGGCGGCGTCACCCGACGTGCCCAGAGCGCGTCGCGTTCGCAGCCTTCTCCGCGCGCTCCGCAGCGTCCTCGAGCTGCGAGAAGACGTCCGAGGTGATGACGTGTCCGCGTCCGCTTCCGCGCGCCGCCCGTTTTCGTTCCGTCGGCACGGCGGTCTCCGGCGTGGGCCCCTCGTCCTCGTCGTCGCTCGCCGCCGGCGCCGTCGTCGGTTCTTCCGCCGGCGCTACGGTCTCCGCGTCGTGAGTCACGTCGTGCGGGCCGTCCGACGCCGCCGCCGCGACCGGCCTCGCCGTCTCCGGGACCGCCGCCGCCGCCGCCGCGATCGGCCTCGCCGTCTCCGGGACCGCCGCCGCCGCCGCCGCCGCCGCCGCCGCTTCCCACTCGCCGCCGCCGCCGCCGCCGCCGCCGCCGTCGTCGTCCGTGGGCTCCGTGGGCTCCGGCGGCGTCACCGGCGCCACCGGCTGCGCGATCGGGCCGCTCGTCGCCGCGGCGTCGACCCGGCCTCGCCCGCGCGCTCCTTTGACGTCCGTCGGCGAGTGCTCCTTCGCGTCGTTCGCGCGAATACGCGCGATCGTCGCCTCCTCGCGCGCCTTTTTCGCCTCGCGCGCCCTCTTCGCCTCGCCGCGATCGCGGACGTACACCTCAGCGGGGGTCTCCCCGGGCTTGTGCGCGGGCTCGCTCGCGCCCGCGGTCGCCGCGTCGCTCGACGCCGCGCCGCCGCGCAGGAGCGACTCGACGTCCTCGGCCGTCGGCGCGCGCGAGACGACGCGGGAGACGTCGGGGGCCCCGCCCGCGCCCCGCGAGATGGGGGCGGTTTTCCCCGCGTCGATCGCGTCGGCGTCCGCGGACGTCGACGCGGACGCGGGGTTCGCGGCGAGCGCGACGAGCGCGACGAGCGCGAGCGCGAGCGCGCGACGCGAGCGTGCGAAACCCATCGCGGCGCGCGTCTCGGTGCGTGCGTGCGCGCGGCGCGTGTGTGAGCGGCCCTTCGTTCGAAAAGCAGAGGTGTTACAGTGTCGTCACTATTCTCGCGTGGCGCTTGGCGCGCGGACGACGAGCTGATGAGAGGCGTCTGGTGTCTGGCGTCACCTCGCTCTCGCAAGATTCCACGCGCGCGCGCGGTGAGGCACTGTATTTCATCTTCTTTAATTGAAATAAAACGCATCGCCATCGGCCGCGACATCGCGCGGCGTTACAAATACGACACCACGCGCGGTGGGTGGAAGACTCGGGGGGGCGGAACCGACCCCCGGCTTCGTCCTCGCACCCAGCCGCGGAAAAAAAATAATGAATGCACTTTTCGCTTCGCTTCGCGTCTTCCTCCTCTTCGCCCCGTTCCCCCCCAACCCCATCTCACGACCAAATATCGCGCACGTACCTCCCCGCCTTCGTCATCTCCGCCAGCATCTTACCCGCGTCCTCCGCGCACGTCACGCCCTCCACCCCGCCGTGCGACGCGATCACCTCGCACAGCGCGGCGTGGACGTCCTTCGCCATCCCGCCGCCGTCGCCGCACACGTACACGCGCGCGTCGTCGCTCGAGACGATCAGCGCGGCGACCGCGGCCGCGTGCTCCCTGATCTTGTGCTGGACGTACACCTTCGGCTGGTCCGGGTTCTCGCGCGAGAACGCGGTGACGAGCTTCGTGAGCGTGCCGTCCGCGGCGAACGCCTCGAACTCGTCTCGGTACAGAAAGTCCTCCGTCGGCGCGCGGCACCCGAAGAATAAAAACGCGTCGCCGGGCGCGACGACGTCCGCCGCCTCCCCGTCGCGCGCCGCCTTCTTCTTCGCCGCGTCGATCATCGCCGCGCGGCGCTGAAGGAACCCGCGGAACGGCGCGACGCCGGTCCCCGGGCCGATCATGAGCATCGGCGTGGAGAGGTCCTCCGGGGGACGGAAGGCGATCGAGCGTTTGATAAACACCGGGCACCTGAACGACGACGACGCGTCCGCCCCGCGCGTCGTCGACCGATCGAGCCAATGCGTCGCGACGCCGCGCCGCGCCGCGCCCTGCGGGGTTTGAAACGACACGACCGAGAACGCGACCGCGGGCTTCCCCGGGTGCGCCTCCGGCGCGGTCGTGATGGAGTACATCCGCGGCTGCAGCGGCGTCAACGCGTCGAGCAACGTCGCGAGATCCGGCGCGCAGCTCGGCGCGATCGTCGTCAGGAGGTCGACCAACGTTGGCGCCTCCTCGACCATCTCTCTCTTGTACGCGTCTCGCCCGCCCCGGCTGCACAGGTACAGGAGCTTGAGGCGGTCTTCCGACTCCGCGCACGCCTCCGCGAGCGCGCGGAGGAGCGACTTTCGAGGGACGGACGTGATGTCCACGGAGCGCGAGAGGACGTCGCCGACGACGCACGGGCGTCGGACGTTCGGCAACGGCGGCGGCTGATTCTGATTCTGATTCGCCGACGCGTGCTCCGACGCCCACGTCAGGTCGAACGAGCTCTCCAGGCTCAGACCGAGCCTGGACGCGAGCTCGGACACGAGCTCCGGGTCGTTACGAGGGAGGACGCCGATGGAGTCCCCGGGCTCGTACGCCAGCGACGCCGCGCGTTTCGCCGCGGTGAGGTCAAACTCGAGATGCAACACGCGGCGATCGGAAGCCGGGTCGGTCATGAGCTTCGAGCGCGTCACCGGCGCTAGGTACGGCGACTCCGCGGTGTGCGGGCCATCGCACGGCGCGTCGTCCTCGTCGAGGGGGCGCGTCGCGCGCGTCGCGTGCATGGAGACGACGACGCGGCACGCGGGGAGCGCGGGGACGCCGACGAGGTCAGCCTCTTTCAGCGGCGGCGGCGTCGACGGCGGCGCGGGGCCCGGCGCCTCGCCCGGGCGCTCGCGGCCGCTTCCCGCGGGCGGGCGCGCGGACGCCGTGACTCGCGAGGGTTCATCCTTCGCGGCTTCGGGCCCGTCCTCCTTCGGCTTCTTCGCGCCGAGCGCGGGGTTCGCCTCGAGCTCTGGCGCGCGTTTCACCGCGTCGCGCAGGGGCGTCCAGAGCTTCTCCCGCCACGCCTCGCAGTACTCGTACAGACCCAACGTGTCGTCCGCCTCGCCGCGCGGGTAAAACGCGCTCGCGCCCGCTTTCTCCATCGCGAGCGTGAAGCTCCGCGGGATCGCCATGAACGCGCTGTAGTTTTGATCCCCCAACCCGAGCACGCAGTACTGCGTCCCGAGTCCGCACGCGTCGGGCGCTCTCTTCGCGACCCTCTTGAGCTTCGTGAAGAACGAGTCGCAGTTATCCGGCGCGTCGCCGTCGCCGGTGGAGGACACGACGTACACGAGGACGTTCCCGGGGGATAAGACATCGTTCACGTCCACCTCGTTCATCGCGTTGCACGTAGTCTTGAACCCATTCGCGGTCGCCTCCGCCGCCGTGGCTTTGCAAATTTCCGTCGCGTTGCCGGTTTGCGAGCCGTACAGGAACCGAACCATCGTCGCGTCGCCGCTCGCATCGGCGTCGGCGTCGGCGTCACCCCCGCCCGGCCCTTCGCGCTTCAGACGCGCGATGGCCTCTCCCAGCGCCGGCCACAGCGTCTCGCACCACGGCTCGACAGCCTCGTCTAACCCCACCGCATCGTTCGCCTCCCCGCGTTGCGCGATCCTCGTCGCCCCTAATGAGTGCAACGCCGAGTCCAGCGTCTGCGCCGCCTGGTTGCAGTCCTTCGCCGTCGTCGTCTGCCTGTCCAAGAGCAAGTTCGTGTCCCCGAGCCCTAGCACCGCGTACGACAGCGTGCCGCGCAGCAGCGTCGACTCCCCGGACTTCCGCTTGCGGTTGTAGAAGCGCAGGCACGTCCCCGCCGCCTCCGCGGGCTGCGCGTTTTCGACCGTCTCGACGACGAAAATCGCGACGGCTGGCGTCTCGTCGAGGTCGCACGACTTGAAGTCGTCCATTGCGACGACGCGCGGCGTGATGCCTCGCTCGGAGGCCTTCGTCGCGAGCTCGCGCGCGATCTGCGTGGACGCCTCGCCGCCGTGCAGGAAGAACAGGCGGCTGGACGGGTCGTCGTGAGACGCGCCCGCCGACGGCGCCGCGGTCTTCGACAACGACGGCTTGGACGACGACGACGGATCTTGCGCGCGCTTCTCCCCCGTGACCGCGCCGGACTTGCGCATCTTCGCCATGAGCGCCGCGCTGCCGGTGAGCGGCGCGGCGGCCGCGACCGCCTCCTTCGCCGAGGTCGTCGTCGTCGCCGCCGCCGGAAACGCCGCCGCCGCGACCGGCGGTGCCTTCTTCGCGTCGTCCGCGGGAGGCGGCGCGGACGACGATCTCGCGGCGGTCGACCGCCCGCCGACCGCGGCGGCCGCGTCATTCGTCGCCGCGCCCGCGTCCTTCGTCGCCGCCGCCGCCGCGCCCGCGTCGTCCGCGTCCGCGCCGGTGCTCATGAACCACAGCAGCGGGAGCGCGAGCGGGATCAGGAGGAGGAGCGCGAAGATCAGCGCCGGCGTCGCGACGAGCGCGGCGGCGGCGATCGGTCTCGATCTCTTCGACGCGGACCACACGGTCGCGAAGACGTCCCGGATCGACTTCCTCGTGATCCCCATCGACGCGAGCGCGGCGAACATCGCGTTCGCTCGCTCGTCGGTCGCGCGGACGAGTCGACGACGACGTCGCGCGACGCGCCGAGTCGTTGGACGAGATCCATCCATCGTGTTTTCAGGGAGGGGTTCACTGCTGCCTTTCGCGCTGTAATTTGATCGGGTTTTTTGTGCCGATGCGTGGCGGCATTCCGGCGATTTGATAGGCTGGAGCGCGCTGCTTGACCGCTGCCCGTTTTTCTTTTTGCGCTGCTTTCGCGCTGCCCGTCGCGCTGCCCGCGCGCTGCCCGCGTGACTGGTGACCGCGTGACCGCGCGCTGCCCCGCGCGCTGCCTCGCCGCTCAAGGCAGCGCGAAGGCAGCGCGCGCCAGCCAATAAGAACGCCGGAATGCCGCCACGCATCGGCACAAAAAACCGACCCGAATTACAGCGCGAAAGGCAGCAGTGAACCCCTCCCTGTTTTCATAGCGTCGCGTCGTCGACGTCGACTCCAATTTTGTGCCGCGCGCCGCGCCGCGCCCGCTCCGAGGATTCGTTCGCCCCCGACGCGGCGCCGGCGGTCAAAGACCCTCGCGCGAGCCGCGCGCGCGTCGATCCGGACTCGGAGGACGACGATCATGTCGCAGGTTCTCCTGAACACCCTCGACGGCGACACCCGCGTCTTGCGCCTCGAGCGCGCGCCGGAGACGCCGCTCACGCTCGGCGCCCTCCGCGCGAGCGTGGAATTCGACCAAAAGATCCCCGCGGACGAGCAGATCCTCCGCGTCGGCGACCGCGTGTTCGGCCCGCGCGCGGACGCGTCCACGCGGCTCATCCCCCTTGACGTCGACGAAGCGCGCCGCGACGAAGGAGCGCTTCTTCCGTCGTGCGCGCTCCTGCTCGCCCTGAGCGGCGGCAAAGGCGGCTTCGGATCGCTCCTGCGCGGCGCCGCCAAGTCCGCGGGGACGACGACCAACTTCAACGCGTGCAGAGATCTCAGCGGTCGACGCATCGGCCACGTCAACGCGGAGAAGAAACTTCGCGAGTACGAGGCGCGCGCGGACGAGCGCGCGCTCGAGAAGATCGCGATGGAGCACTGCAACCGCAAGGACCTCCAGACGAAGAGGAGGTTCCAGGAGATCGAGGAGGAAGAGAAGAAGAGATACGCAGAAGTCGTCACCGTCGCGCTCGAAAACGTCGGCGACGCGGTGCACGACGGCTTGCTCGCCGCGGCGAAGAACGAGAAAAAGGAGCGCGACGCGAGAGAGGCGAACGAGCGCCGCGCGCGAGAGGCGCAGAGGGCGAGGGACCGAGGGATCTTCGGGTTGGGGGGGCTGAGCGATTCGGACGAGGACGACGACTCGGACGACTCGGACGAAAAAGACGACGACGACGGGCCCGGGCCGAGACGGAACGCCCCCGCCGGCGAGGTGTACATCGCGGGGAAAGGGTACGTGGGGAGGGAGAAGAAAAAGGCCCTTCGCGAGGCGGACCCTTCGCGCCCGACGACGCCGCCCGAGGACGAGGCGGCGGCGAAGGCGAACGACGACGCGTCGCCCCCCGCGGAGGAGACGAAGAAGACGACGACGACGACGAGGACGACGACGAAGACGACGGAGCTTCCGGCGGAGATCATCCTCGCCGACTACTCGCGCGCGAAAGAACTCGAGGCGTTCGGGTTGGACCGCCTGAAGCGCGAACTGCTGGAGCGAGGGTTGAAGTGCGGCGGGACGCTCGCGGAGCGCGCGGACAGGCTGTTTCTGCTGAAGGATAAGACGATCGACGAGATCGATCCGAAGTATCTCCCGCCGAAGAAAAAAGCGAAGAAATGATGTCGGTAGGGAGGTTGTATTGCGTGAAATCCAGAGGTTGGCTGGGTGCAACGAATTCCGCTTGCTCGCGGCGCATCAACTTAGGTTGCTGCAATCATCTTTTACTACGTAGGGTGAGCGTTTGTGATGATACGATCACGACTAGACAACGACATCATCACGTGACGTGACGTGACGTGACGCACATCACGCGAGCGTCGGCCACTCCCCCCGCAACGCCGCCTCCATCGCCTCCCTGCCGACGTACCGCGCGCGGACGACGTTGTCGTCGAACGTCCGACCGTGCAGCGCGAGTTTCGCCGCCGCGCTCGCCGTCGTCGCCGCCGCCGCGGTGCCGGCGAAGGACACGAACACCCTCGTGACGCCCGCGCTCTCGCCGTTCACGAAGGAGGGTGGAACCGGAATCGCGATGTCTCCGACCGCACCGTGCTCCTCGCACGCCTCGCGGACGTCCGCCTCGAGGTCTTCGCGTTCGTCCGCGTCCCCCGCCGCCGTCGCGGATATCAAATTTTCGAGGCACAAGACGGCCGTCGCGGGCGCCTCCGCCGCCGCGGGCGCCGCCGCCGCCGCGGGAAGCGCCATCACCCCTCCTCCCACCGACGCCGCCCTCGCCGCCGCGGCGCTGGCCGCGGCCGCGGTCGGGTACGGGTTCGCCGCGGGAAGCACCGCGTACCCGGGCTGCTGCAACCCGCGCGCGGCGGCGACGCGTTGCGCCCCCTCGAGCGCCAATTTTTGCGCCGCCTGCGTCTCCGGCCGCAGCCCGCTCGGCGCGCCCATGTTCGGGAACAGCGCGTTCGTCCCCGGGGCCCAGCACACGGGCGTGGACGACGGGATGTACCCGGGCGGGGGCTCGACGTACCCTTTCGGTCGCCCGACGTTGATCGGTCGGCCGCACACCTCCATCTTATCGAGGTTGATCGCCGCCGTCGCGAGCTCCTCCGAGCGCAACTCGACGAATCCAAATTTCTGCGAGCCGTCCATCACGATGTTGATCACAGGCGGCCCCGCCTCCGCGGCTCTCGGTAAGATCTGCGACATGACCGTGTCGAACAGCTCTCGCACGACGTCCTGGGTCACGACGCCCACGGTGAGGTTCCCGACGTACACCTCTCTCTGTTTCTTATTCTGCGCCGCGTTGGCCCCTTGCGCCTGCGCCGCCTGGTTCTGCGCGAGCCACTGCGCCGCGAGCGCTTGCCTCTGCTGCAGCTCTTGCATCGCCGCGGAGGGCTGCGCGTCGAACCCGGAGGGTTTGCGACGCGCGCGCGGCGCGGGCGAGCGCGAGCGCGAGCGCGAGTGTGAGCGGCGGCGGCGGCGATCGTCGTCCGTTCGGTGACGATGATGATGATGATGATGGTCGTCGCGATGGGCGTCTGCTCGCGACCCGCCGTCCATTCGCCCGCCGTCGCGCCCGCCGCCGTCGCGGTCGCCGCCGCGGTCGCGTCGGTACCGCGGGTCCGGTGACGCCGAGCGCGATCGGCTCCGGCTGCGATGACGCCGCTTGCTCGACTTCCGGTCGCGGTCGCGGTCGCGGTCGCGGTCGCGGTCGCGCGAGCGACTGCCGCCGCGCGAGCGGCTCCGATCGCCCGCGCGATCTCTGTCTCTGTGCCGCTTCTTCTCCCTCCGTCGCGCTCGGTCGTCCGGGTCGGATCGATCGTCGTCCTCGCGCGCGGAGGATCGCTTGCGGTCGCCGCCGCGAGACCGCGGGTCGGACGGGAAATCGTCGTCCGCCATCGCGACGACCTGTCGCGCGCGGCGGATGATGAACGCGACGTTCGTATTCACACTGGTCCCCATACGACCGCGTCCGCGTTGTGAACTTCATTCCTTAAGGACTTTCTCTCCCGCGCGACGTTTCGCCGAGTTTGCTGCTGCTGCTGATGAGACCGACGCGACGAGCTCCAACCCTCGAGATTTCGAAACCCGCCATCGCGGAGAGAGACGCGCGCCCGCCCACGGCATCCGGTCGTCATGCCGGACGCCGCGGACGGGTGGGGCGGGGACGAGAGCGACGACGACTGGCCGGAGGTGGACGCCAGCGCGGACGCGGGGACGCCCGACGGCGGCGGGGACGTCGACGCGGGATGGGGCGACGACGAGCCGCCGTCCCCGGTCGTCGCGACGAGAGCGTCGGCGCCCTCGTCGACGACGACGCGCGCGATGCCGTCGCCGATAGGGATCGCGCCCACGAGCGAGCCGCGGCCGCCGTCGCCTTCGCCGCCGTCGCCGCCGCCGCCGGGACACGCCGCGACGACGTTCGCGCGCGCCGAGTCGAGCAGCCTCGCGGATCTGTTCGGCGCGGACGACGACGGCGACGGCGACGGCGACGGCATCTTCGGCGGCGGCGACGACGGCGGGCGCGCGTCGTCGTCGACCGACGCGCCGCCCGCGCCCGCGCCTCCTCCGGCGCCTCCTCCGCCGCCGCCGCCCGAGGACGCGCGCGCGGTGACGGCGGCGCGCTCGCCGTTCGGAGAGATGGACGGCGACGAGGACGACGTCTTCATGAACGCCATTCGGGACGCGCCGAGGCAGGCGCCGGATCAGGCGCCGTTCGGGACCGCGCCGCCGCCGAACCCCGTCCACGTCGCGCCCGCGGCGGTCGAGGATGGCGTCGCCGCGGGCGCGGAGGCGGAGGCGGCGGTGCGGGAGCCGTCGCCGGCGGCCGTCGACGCCGCCGCCGCGGCGACGGCGTCGTCGACGACGACGACGACGACGCGGCATAGCTCGGGTCACGCGCAGCCGTGGTCGCAACCGCAACCGCAGTATCACCAACCGCAGTATCACCAACCGCAGTATCACCAACCTCAGTACGGAGCGCACGACGCCACCGTCGCGGGGACGTACGGTCAGCAGCAGCAACAGCAGCAGCAGACGTCGTACGCGGGATACGCGCAAACGACGGAGTACTCCGGATACCACCGCTCGACGGGCTATCCGCCGCCGGCGGCGAGCTACCCGACCGGCGATTACGCGCAGGAGGCGTACGCGGCGTCGCAGCGCGCGGCGACGACGCCGCCTCTGCTGCCGACGCCGACGTTGACGCCGCTGAATACGGCGCCGACGACGTTCATGGTGCCGCGCGTCGACGAGACCGTCGAGACGCCGAGGACGGCGGCGGCGAACGCGGCGGCGGCGGCGGCGGCGGCGCGCGAGTCGGACGCGTACGCGCCGCCGCCGCCGTCCGCGTTCGTGCCGCCGCCGCCGCCGCCGGAGGCGCCGCCGTCGTATGAGGCCGCCGCGCCCGTCGTCGGCGCGTACGGCGCGTACGCGCAGTCGCAGCAGCAGCCGCAGCCGACGCCGGCGTACGAGTACGCGCCCGCGGCCGCGCCCGTGTCTCCCGCGTACGGCGAGGCGTCGTACGCGCCCGCGCCGCCGCCCTCGGAGTCCGCGTACGGCGCTGGGTATGCCGCGCCCGCGCCCGCGCCGCAGCCGGCCGCGCCGCCGCCGGCGCCGCCGCAGTTTATGATCCCCTCCGTCCCGGCGGCGGCGGCGGTCGCGGGGGAGGATCCGACGAGAGCGAACGCGTCGTACGCCCACGACCAACCCGCGGCGACGCTCCCGCCGCAGCGCAGGGAAGCGTCCGCGGAGTACACGTCCGCGACGTCGACGCCGCCGTCGCAGTATTCCGCGTACGGCGGCGGCGCGTCGTCGTCGTCGTCGCAGCAGTACGGGTACGAGTCGCAGCGGCAGCAGCCGTGGGCGCCGCCGCCGCCGCCGCAATCGCACTACGCGCAACAGTACTCGCAACAGCAGCCGTCGTCGTCGCCCGCGGTCGTTCAGGCCGCGTACGACGATTTCGGGATGTCCGGTGGCGGCGGCGCGTACGGTGACGCGTCGGGCGCCGGCGGGGGTGGGTGGGCGTCCACGGCGCCGACGCGGCTTCCGCCGCGAGGACGCGCGCGCGGAGACGACGACGCGCCGTCGGCGGCGGCGTACGCGTCCACGTCGCACGACGGCGGCGACTTCTCCGCGTACAACACCGGCGGGTCCTCGCACGCGACCGGGGACGCGGGGACGCCGCGGTCGACCCACGGCCGCCCGCCGTGCGTCGGGATCGGGTTCGGTTTCGGCGGGAAGCTGGTGCTCTCGTCCCCGGGGTATCCCGGCGGGGACGTCGCCGGCGGCGGCGGCGCGCCGCCCGGGCACCTCCGAATCAAACGCCTCTGCGATTTAATACGCGACGCCGAGGGCCCCGCGATGGCGGCGGGGCCCGGCTCCGACCCGGCGTTCCCGTCGGCATCGCGGCTCGGCCCCGGCGGCGCGTGGCTCGACGCCGTGACGCGCGCGCCGACGCCCGGGCCGATGACGCGAAACGCGTCGTCGAGCGCGCTGACCAAGTTCGCCGACGCGCGCGCCGCGGCCGCGACCGCGGGCGAGGACGAGGACAGCGTCCACTCCGGGGGTTCGCACGCGTCGACGTCGACGACCGGCGGCGGGTTCGTCGTCGGCGGCGGCGGCGGCGAGGGCGACCCCGAGGGCGCGGCGCTTCTGTGGGCGCTTCTGCGGGCGATGTGCGCGCGCCGAGGGCCGCTCACCGTTCCCGCGGGGTCAGACCCGACGGGGTCGGACCCGAGAGGCGCGACCGCGACCGCGGAACTCAGAGCGCTGCTCGTCGGAGAGTATCATCCGCACGGCGCGCGCGTCGGCCCCGGCGTCGCGCAGCCGCTCGCGGACGCCGCCGCGACGTCGGCGGCGACGGCGGAGGTGGAGAGGCTTCTCCTCGGCGGCGAACGCGCGGCGGCGCTCGAACGCGCGCGCGCCGCCGGTCTCTGGGCGCACGCGCTCTTGCTCGCGTCGCACATGGGCGAGCCGCACTTCGCGGCGACCGCGGCCGCGATGGCGAGAGCCGAGTGCGTCGCCGGGTCGCCGCTGCACACGCTCGAGCTCGTGCTCGCGGGCGCGCCGGGGGAACTCGTCGGCGGCGACGTCGACGGCGGCGCGGCGACGCCCGGAGCCGGGGCTGGGACCGGGGACGCGTCTGGATCCTCCTCCTCCTCCGCCGCCGCCTTCGCCTTCGCCGGCGATCCAAACGCCGCCGACGCGCTCGGTCTCCTCCCGCGCTGGCGCGAGAACCTCGCGATCCTCGCCGCGAACCGCGCGCGAGGGGACGAGCCCGTGATCGCCGCGCTCGGCGACGCGTTGTGGCGCCGACGCCGGTCCCCGCACGCCGCGCACGTCGCGTACGTTCTCGCCGGATGCCACCCCGGAGCGTTCCACCCGAGCTCGCGCGTGTGCCTCCTCGGCGCGGACCACAGGGCGCGGCCGCGGACGTACGTCACCCCCGCCGCGGTGCAGCGCACGGAACTTCTGGAGCACGCGCTTTCTTCGGCGAACCCGCAGCGCGTCCTCGCGGCGTTTCAGCCGTACAAGTTGGCGCACGCGGCGACGCTCTCGGGTGCGTTCTATACACTGGTCCCCATACGACCGCGTCGGCGTGGTGAACGCCGTTCCTTAAGGACTTTTGCCGTCCTCTCTCTCCGCCCACCCCTCGCTTTCAATCCCCGCCCTCGAAGCCTATCAACTCCGACTGACGCCGTTCAACTCCACCCCGACGTTCGCTTGTATGGAACGACCCTCAGAGCTCGGCAAGGCCAAGGACGCGCTCGCGTACGTGGAAGCCGTGGCGAAGGCGTGCAAGGCGCTGGATCATCGACAGTGCGTCGAATGCGACGTGCACCGGCTCGCGGCGACGTGCGGGGAGTTGGAGCACCGTCTGCGGGGCCACCTGGGCGGGAAGGGCGGGGTGTTACACGCCGTCGGGAAGAGCGTGTTCGGGGGGTTCACGAAGATTCTGGACCGCGGCGTGAGCGCGGTGTTCGGGGACGAGGGCGGCGGCGGCGGCGGCGGGTCTGGCGGCGCGCAGTACGAGCAGTATGCGCCGCACGCGCAGCAGCAGTTTCACGGGGCGTATCAGCAGAACGGCGGCGGAGGGGCGCACGCGGGGGGGTACCAGGCGCAACCGCAACCGCCGCAGTCTCAGCCGCAGCCGCAGCAGCAGTCGCAGTCGCAGTCGCAGCGGGAGGCGACGCACAGCCGGAACCCGAGCGCGCACAGTCGCAATCCGTCCACGGACTCCGTGGACAGCTCCGCGTCGCGATCGTCCGCGGCGCCGAAGATGTCTCTGTGGCGGTCCGTCAGCGGCGTCATGGGCGCGGTGATGCCCAAGCCGAAGAACCAGGCGAAGCTCGGCGAGGAGAACACGATGTATTACGACGAAAAATTAGGACGGTGGGTGGAGCCGGGCAAGGAAGACGACGTCGACTCCGGGCCGCCGCCGCCGCCGCCGACGTCGTTCGGCGGCGGCGGCGCGCCGACTCCGCAGAGCGCCCCCGACGCGAGCGGGTTCGTGGGGATGCCCCTCGGCACGCCCCCGGGAGGCGGCGGCGGCGGCGGCGGCGCCCCGTCGCCGAACTCTTTCAGCATGCGCGCGCCCACCTCCGGCGGCGTGCGGTCGCGGTACGTCGACACGTTCAGTTCCACGAGCGCGCCCGTCGCGAGCGCGCCGTACGACGCGGCGGGTCTACTCCCGCCCGGCACGATGCCGCCCGGGCTCCATCCCGGCGCGGCGGGCGCGTCGAAGCCGACGATATCGATGATGGTCCCGGACGCGTCCCCGATCGCGGCGGTGCCGGAGAGCCCTCGACGCGAAGCCGCGGAGGCGGGCGGGTTCGACCTCCCGGACGACGACGCGCCGCCCGCGCGCGCGCCCAATCGTCCGACGCCGCCGTCGGACGCGTCGCTCGCGCCGGAGCCGGAGAGCGGCGAGGCGCCGCCGCCGCCGCCGCCCTCGGCGTCGGAGGCGGACCCGACGGAGGCGGACGACGGCGTCCTCGCGACGCTCGAGGTCGCGGACGCAGACGCGGTCGCGGCCGACGACGTCGGAGGAGGAGGAGGAGGCGCGACGGGGACGGACGCGCTCGCGGATAGGCTCGCGCGCGTCGCGCCGTTCGCGCCGGGGACGGGGACGGGGCCGGGGACGGGGCCGGGGACGGGGACGGGGAGCGACGCGGACGCGGACGCGGACGGTTCCCCGCGCGCGGCCGGGCCGGAGTCGGCGGGGTCGACGTCGTCGGTCCCGCCCGCCGCCGCCGCCGCCGCCGCCGTTTCGGATTACCGCGAACCAGAACCTGAACCGTCGCGGCGGCAGCAGGGCGAGCAGCGGCAGAGCGGCGAAGGGTACTGGAACGCGCGCGGGGAGTGGCAACTCGGCGCTTTCCCCGGCGGCTTCTACGACGAGTCGACGGGCGCGTGGAAGAGCGGGTTCTACGACTCCGAAGGCGTCTTCACCGAGGGGTACTACGACGGCGAAGGCGTCTGGAAGTCCGGGCAGCCGCCGACGGGGTACTGGAACGAGCGCGGGGAGTGGACGACGGGCGCGTTCCCGGGCGGGTACACCGACGCGACGCGAGGGTGGCTGTGCGGGTATTTCACCGAGGGCGGGGAGTTCGTGGAGGGCTATTATTCGAGGGACGGATCCTGGATCGCGGGTCAGCCCGAGCACGGGGGGACGTTCGGCGACGACGGCGTGTTCGTCGCGAACGAGGGCGCGTCCGAGGGCGCGACGGGCGGCGAGGGAGAGATGATGGACGTCCCGTTGTGACGATAAGCTTAGTCAGAAAAAGAGACTGGACGAGTGCGACTCGCGTCAGTAATGTCGGAAAAAAAATCTTCATCTTCGAGCGCGGATCTTCTCTAAAATTCACGGCCTGGCGGCGCGCGTAGATGTTGACATCGGGCGACTCCGCAGCGCGCGGGAACTCGCCGCGCGCGGATCGCGTCGTCGCCGCCATGCCGACGCGGCATTTCCAGCGATCGCCGCACGCGCGTCGCGTGCTGTTGACCGCGATCGCGGTCATCGCGAGCACGTTCCTCGTGACGTACCCGATCGCGGCGAGCGCGCTGACGCCTCCGTCGCACCGGCTCCGATGGCCTCGTCTGTTCCTGAGCGCGTCCATATCGCACGAGCCCGCGCGGACGATCGGAAGCTTCCTCCTCTCCGTCGGCGTCGTCCCGTTCGCGTTCGCCGTCTTCGCGCGGAAGCTCGAGCTCGACCTTCGCCGCGCGCAGCTCCGAGAGAAGACGAGGACCGAGGACGCGTCCGAGCGCGCCAAGGACGTCGAGCGCCTCGCGTTCGCGCTGCACTTCGTCTCCCTCGTCGGCGCGCTCGGCGTCTGCGCGGCGCCGTCGCACGTGCATCGAAAGACGCACACGGCGTTCGCGTCCGCGTTCTTCCTCGGCGGCGCGTTCGCCGCCGCGTGCCATTACGTCGTCGACGTCGCGCTCGCGAACACGTGCTCCGCGCGACTTCGCGCGTTCAGAGGCGTCTTCGCGGCGGCGCCGTGCGTCCTCGCGCCGCTCTTCATCCTCTTCCGCGACTCGAGCGACGAGACGCTGGTCGCGGTCGCGTGCGTCAGCGAGCTCGCGGCGATGACGTGTTTGTGCGCGTACTACGCGTCTTGGGCGGCGACGTTCGGGTCGATCGTCGTCGTCGTCGGCGCGCTGGACGTCGTCTCCGCGAGGGCCCCGGGGGATCTCGAGGAGGGCGGCGGCGGCGGCTTCGATGATTTGATAGACGGCGAGGAGAGTTTGATGCGCGCGGAGACGCTGCTTCCGTCGCCGTTCGATACGACGTCGCGGTCGGGATCGCCACGCGTCGCGCGCGGCGGCGGCGGCGGCGGCGACGAGAACGACGACGACGACGACGACGACGGCGGCGACGGCGACGACGTCTTCACGGGGTCGCCGTCGACGCCGTCGCGGGGAGGGGGGTACCACAGCGACGACAGACGGAAGCCGCCGACGAGCCCGTCGCACGGCGTCGCCGGGTCGCTGGGGAGGAGCGGGAGGAACGTCGGGGGGATTCGCGACTTCAGCGGCGGCGGCGGCGGCGGCGGCGGCGGCGGCGCGGGGCGCCACACGCCGCCGGACGGCTTCGCGTCGCCGTTCCGCAGCGACGGGAGAGTGTTGAACGGTCTGCGCGCGTCCCCGGCGACGCCCGGGGTGCCTCGCGTGGACAGCAGCGATAGACTGTACCACCAGCTGCACGAGCCGTTCATGCGGAGGATGGAGGAAGAGCGCGGGACCGGCGGCGGCGGCCGGAGTTGAGGCATAATGTTAACCAGTGTCTATTTTGCTGATTATTGCTGAGTCAGATCTCGCTCTTCGCCTGTTCGAAGAAGGGCACGCGCCGATTTTGTTTCCGTTAGAACGCAGTCCCGAGCGCGCTTCCACGCGCGGGTGGAATCATGAAAAAATCGGGGTACGAGGGCGCGGTTATCGGGGGGGTGTTTATCGCGTGTGTCCACGCCGTTTTAGCGTGCGCGGTGCGTCTCCGTCCCGCGCGATTCCCCGCGGTCGTCACGATTTAACTTCGCGACGATTTACTTACATGTGCGCGTGTCACGATCAAACATCCATCCATATCGTCCACCCCGCTGAGCCCCCCCCCGTCCCCGTCTACTGAATCGACAGCACGTCCTCGATCCCGTCGGCGTCGTCGCGGAGATGACCCCGGCGACGATCACCGAGCAAAACTTCCCCGCGGTGCACTTGTCCTGTATCTTCGGCGCCGCGCACTTCTTCTACGCGTGGGTCTTCTTCGTCCTCTCGACGTCGTCGAGGTGCTCCGCGCTTCGACTGAAAATAATTCGAGGCTACGCGTGCGGCTTGTCCGTGTTTTACCTCGCGAATTTGAAGTACCCTGCTGCAGGGAGGGCGCACGATTCGATGTGGGAGATGCCGCTGCCGGTGTTGTACTCGCTCTCCGCGGCCGCGCTCTTTGGGAGTTGTGGGTTCGAGAACGTGTTCGCGAGACGAAGCCAGCGGAATCGGAAAAAGCCGTCCGCCGGCGAGCCGACGCCCCCGCGCGTCGACGCGGTCGGGCGGCAAGGCGAAGCGAAAGTGAACGAACGACGCGACGCGGCGACGCGGGGTCCATCGACGTGACGGACGTCGACGCGTACACCCGGTCGCGCGCGCGTGTATTATCACGAGATTTCGAGTTGAGTTGAATTGGAGCGAACGACGCGAGCGGGGAGCGACAGACGCGCAGCCACGGCGCGTCCGTCCTCCGGTCGCGGTCGCGGTCGGGTGTCCTTAGATTGAATATCAAATAGTCTGCGGCGTGGAAGCGAGAGAGGGGGTGAGTTTGGGTAGACGTTCGGGTGTAAACGAATTGTCTTCTCGACGCGAATCGGAGACGCATTCATTCGTGGCGCCTGCGTCGTCGTCGAATTGGAGTCGACCGCGGCGGGTCTCGACGCGCTCGTCGCTCGACGCGTCGTTCGTGGTACACGTACGTATTACACGGTCGCGTCTCTATGAACACCCCTCGCGCATCGCATCACGACAGCAAGTCCCCTTGCGCGGCGTTGGACGGGTTAGCGCCCGCCTTCGACTTCTCCGCCTTCTCGCCCTCGGTCTCTCGGTACTTGTGCAGGTACACCTTCAGCGGTTCGACGTACTCTTCGAACCCTAGCGTGGACATCGCCCACAGGAGGTCGTCGCCGTTGATCGTCTTCCGCTTCTCTCGCTGGCACTTATCCGACGCCTCGGAGGTTATGAACGAGATGAACTCCGAGACGCACTCCTGGACGGTCTCCTTCGCGTCCTTGGCGATCTTCGCGTTCGCGGGTAGGGCTTTTTTCATTATCCGCGAGATGTTCGCGATTGGGAGGAATCGGTCCTGCTCGCGAACGTTCTCCCCGCGCTCGTCGTCGTCATCGTCCCCGCCGCCGTACTCCGGTTCCTTTTCAGCGCTCATGCTGCCCCGACTGACTTATACGCACGCGCGAGTGTGCGTCGTGCCACGCGCCCCCGACGGTGAGGCGGGGACGATGAATGCGGTCAAGTTCAAGCAGCTACCCTATCGCGAATTCCATTTATTAGGTCAAGATCCAGATCTGTGTGCGACACGCGGTATGCGGTTAATCTGATCGGGAAAGAAATGGATTTCAACCTGGCGGAGGACGAAACGATCGGTGAGTTTGAAACCGCGTTGAAACCAATAACTTCGGTCGAGTTGTCCCGGAGTTGTCAGCTTCGTTGCGCCGCTTCCGACATCGACAGATCCGAGACGTCCCGTCGACGGGACGATCGCGCGTTACCGCCACACCTCATCGCGCGCGCCGCGCCCTCAGCGGCTTCGCGTCAGCGGTCTCGTCGTCGAACATGCGCGCCGCTTCGGTCTCCACGATGCGCGCCGCGACCTCGCGGTCGTCGCTCGCGCGCGCGACGACCTCGACGGCGCGACGACCGCGCGTCGTCTCGGTCTCGTCCCCGTCCCCGACGCCGAATCTCGAATCGTCGCTGCTGTTGTCCTCGCGCGCGCGCCTCTCGAGCGGCGTCCCCTCGCTCCATCGCGACCGCCGCGCGCGCGCGACGACGCGCGACCGCCATCGCGGCGATATCGCGCGCGCGGTCGTCGAGGAGCACGCCGGCGCGGACGCGGTGCGAGGCGAGTCTCGCGCGTCGTCGCGTCCGTCTCGCGTTCAACGGCTCGCGCGTGATTCCCCCCGACACCATCGACGCCGCCGCGACGCGAGCACGCTCGCGGACGTCGCGTCGTCGTCGTCGTCGTCGACGACGACGAACTCGGCGGCGGTCGCCGACGAGTTCCCGTCGACGCCGCCGGCGATAACGCGCGAGTCCCTCGCGCCGTGCGTCGAGCTGTTGACGGTCGAGACGCTGAGCTCCGACGCGACCGAGCGCGCGCGGCGATCGCGTCTCGCGGTTCCGGTCCTCGTCGGCTGGTTCGGCTGCGAGCCGTCGCACCTGCGGAAGTACGCGCACATGTATTTATCCTCCGAGCTGAGGTACGATGCCGTGGTGTGCATCGCACCGCCGGCGGCGAGCACGCTGTTCCCCGCGCTCGGGGACGCGTTCGCGGCCACCGCGCTCGGCGCCGTCGCCGCCGCGCGAAGACGTCTCTCGATCCGATCGACGCTCGACCTCGACCTCGACGCGGACGACGACGACGACGAGACGCCGCGGGAGCGCCCGATTCTGCTGCACTTGTTCAGCAACGGAGGATATCTGTTCGCGGGGAACATCATGCACGCGCACTCGGGCGTCGGCGCGTTTGAAGAGACGGAGAGCGTCGTCGGTCTGTTGAACGCTTCGCTGCGAAGGACGCTCGGGCTCTCGCCCGAGCCGAAAGCGGCCAAGGCGTTCACGGACGCCGTGCACGCGCTCGTGATGGACTCCGCGCCCGGCGAGCTCGAACCCGGAATGGTCGCCGCGTCGTTCGACGCGATGCTTCAAAAGAAGGCTGTGGCGGCGACGGCGACGACCGATAAAATGCGCGATGAGACGCCGACGACGTCGCCGACGTTGGAGCAAACGGCGAGCGCGTTTCTCGCGTGGGCGCCTGTGACGAGACGCATGCGGGCGATAGACGCCGCGTGGGGGGGCTTCCCCGCGGTGACCGGAAACCGGTGGAGCGGCGATAGGAAGACGCGCGCGGGCGACGCCGCGGAGGTGGCGTTCGCGGTCGCCGCGAACCGCCGCGCGTCGAGAAGATTCGCGAACGAAGACGGGTCGCTCACGGCGGGGAAGCTCGCGAGGGAGCGACGCGAAAACGTCCCGGGGGGGAAAGGAATCTTGTGGTGCCCCGCGCTGTTCTTGTACAGCGACGCGGACCCGATCATATCGTCCAGGGCGGTCGAGGCGTTCGCGTCCAATCGCGCGATGCGGTTAGGGCGCGTCGCGAGCGCGATCACGGACGGCGCCGGCGCCGGCGGCGGACTCGTGGAGATGAAGAAGTGGAAAAGCGCGCCGCACTGCGAGATCGGCCGCGCGGACCCGGAGGGGTATAAGAGAGCGCTCGGAGGGTTCTTGCGAAGGAACGGGTGCGACGGAGACGGCCGCGGGGAGGAGGAGAACGTCGGGGCGCGCGCGGTGAGGCCGACGGCGGGGGTGGCGAACAACATCAAGCCGTGGGAGCGCGGCGAGTGACGAGGAGGAGGGAGTTTTCGTTTTTTATCAATTCGGATTTCGGGCGCGCGCGTCTTCTTCTCGTCGTCACCCGGTCATCGGCATCCGTCCACCCTCGACGACGAGCTGCCGAATCTCCCCCAGCCACGCCTTATTCGCGAGCATGTCCTCCAACCTCACGTGCAGCCTGAACCGCCAGTAATGCTTCGGGTTCGTCGGGTCGTTGATCGTCTCCTCCTCCGCCGGTCGCGTCGCGTACTCCCCCACGAGCGCGAGGAGATCCTGCGCGGGGAATATCGCGATGGACGACGGGCTCGCCATGTGCTGCCGCACGATCGCCCGCATCACGTGCGGCTCGCACTTCTCCGGCGCGGAGACCTGCGGCGCGACGTACCGACCGTTACGACCGTTACCGCCGTCGTCGAGCGAGACCTCGTCGTCGCTGAGCCGCCGTCCCCCGAGGTCAAAGTCGCGGTCGCGCGCGTCGTCGTCCGACTCGAAGTGGTTCCCCGCCTCGCCGACGCGGCCGCGGTGCCCCCCCCCCCACGCGCGCGTCGCCCCAGACCCAGCCTCGATGTGCTCGACGCGGTACGCCGCGGGCGGGGGGAACGAGGAGTCGAACTTCCCGTCGCCGATCATCCCAAGGACGAGCTTCGCGTACCGATCCCGTCGCGCCGGGTCCGCCTCGTACCACGCCCTAGTCGTGGACGTGTCGTGACATGAGGGGCTGCACACGGTCTCGTACGGGTAGCGCTCCGGCCGGCCGAACTCGCCGCCGTCGTGCGGCATCCGCTGTATGCGCAGCCCCAAGATCCCGAGCTCTTCGAGCACGGGCGGGACGCACGGCGGGACCATCCCGAGATCCTCCCCGCACACGAGCTGCCCGGTGCACGACATCAGCGCCGGCAGCGTCCGCCGCGCGTTCTCCCGCCACGTCGCGTCTTGCCTCGCGTTGAAGTAGTCGTCGTACAGCCACGAGAGCGCGTCTCGCGCCCAGTCGTCGAGATCGCGGAAACTCGTCGTCTTTTCGAATTCGATCCGCGGGTAAAACGCGTCCGCGTCGTCCGGGTCGCGGAGCAGGATGACGTTCTGCAGGAGCGTCATCAAGCCGCGTCGCAGCTCCTCCGTCTCCTTCACGAGCCAATCCGGGGACCCGTCGCGGACGCGCAACGCCTCCGAGCTCAGGAGCCCTCTCTCGGTGTTGTACTCCTTCCTGAACTTGTACGTCGTCGACGTGGTGCCGTCCGGCTTCGTCTCAGCGCCGGTCTCTTCGAAGAACCTCCCCGCGGCTTCGCCGTCGCGGTCGCCGAAGAGCGCTCGCAACCGCTCGGACGTCACCCACGGCTCGCACAGGCGGTCGACGAACCACAGCCCTCTCTCGTCGAGCTCGCGTTTCCGAATCGGCACGGACGGACGAAACCGTCCGAGGCGACCCGTTTTCGTGTGCGCGGGGAGCTCCCAGATCCGGAAGAAACCCAACACGTGGTCGATCCGCATCGCGCTGAAAAAACGCTCCAGGTGCGTCATCCGGCCCCGCCACCACGCGTAGTTGTCCTTGCTCATCTCCTCCCAATCGTACGTGGGGAAACCCCAGTTCTGGCCGTTCGGGTCGAAGTCATCCGGCGGAGCCCCCGTGCTCGTGTTCATCCGGAACAGTTTCGGGTGCATCCACGTGTCCACGGACGCCTTATCCACGCCGATGGGCAGGTCGCCCTTCAACACGACGCCCCGCGCCGCCGCGTGCGCAGCCGCCCGGCGCAACTGCCGGTCGAGGTGGTACTGCACGTAGTAGTGCATCGACACGACGTGGTACAGCTCGCTGTTCGGCTGCGACAGACGCGCGACGACCGCGGCCGCGTTCGTCGCGGACAAGTCGCCCCACCGCCAGTGCTCCGCGGTCCCGAAGAGCTCCCGCAGCGCGCTGAACACCGCGTAGGGTTTCAACCACGACGCCTGCTCGCGGACGAAGCGCTCGCACGCCTCGGACGCCAAAAACGTCGCCCGCGTCGCCTCGAAGCACCGCTTCGCGACCATCAGCTTCACGCGCATCGTCGCCTCGTAGTCGATCTCTTTGAGATCGAGCGCGTGCTTCGCGCGATCCACCTCCGCGCTGAGCGCCATCAAACGGCCGGCGTCGGGGCCCGCCGCCGCCGCATTAGCCGCCTCCTCTACGAGCGGCTTGAGCTTCAAGTACAACGGGTGCAACGCGTGCACGGAGACGCTGCTGTACGGGTACGAGTCCCACCACGTGTTGTGCACGGTCGTGTCGTTCACCGGCAGGAGCTGCACGACGCTCATCCCCGCCTCCGCGGCGACGTCCACGAGCGCTTCCAAGTCGCCGAAATCGCCCGCGCCGACGCTCTCTCGCGATCGCAGGGAGAACACCGGCACGGCGACGCCGCTGCCGCGCCACGCGCGCGGGTGCCGGAAGTGCCCGTCCCTGACGATGATCCGCGACGGCGTCTTCGCGCGTCGCGGGCCGAGGACGCGCGCGGGCGTCTCGGTGCGCGGCGTGTCGTCGTACGGCGACGCCTTGGACGCCGCCGCCGCCTCCGGGGTGGTCGCGAGCTCGCGCGACGGCGACATCTCGGACTGGTTGTGCGACGGTCGCGCGGAGGGATGCACGGGCGAGCCGTCCGCGTTAAAGGCGGGTCCGTCGCCCCGGTCCATCTTCAGCATCGCGGGCGTGCCGCTCCAGTCGTTTTCCCGTCGCGCGCCTCCGTCGTGTGACTCCGAGGTGTTGAACGTCTCGACCGCCGTTCTCTCTCGCGCCTCGCGTTCTTCGTCCTCGCTGCTCTGTGACGTCGCGCCGCCGCTGCCGGCGCCTTGCACCGTCCCGGTCCCCGTCCACCCCAGCGGCGCGGCGATGCGATCTAACCCGCTCTCGAGAACGTCGTGCGACGTCCCGTCGTGCCCGACGCCGCCTCTGAGTTCGTACTTGTAATGCACCGGCAGCTCCTCGGGGGCGACGTCGAAGTCCAGTCTCCACGCCCTGGTCGCCTCGTCAAACGTCGCCCTCGCCGCGAGGTCGCGCTCCCACCCCCCGAGCGCGGCGCACGACCCGGTCACCCACATCCGCTGCCTCGGCAGCATTCGCAGCGTCTTGACCTCCACGCGCACGCGCACGCACGTCGCGGACGCCTCGATCGCGAGCGCTTCCACGCCCACGCGCACGTCGTCCACGGATATCCCCCCCTCCGTCGACGGTACGGGTCCGGGTCCCGGTCCTCTTCCGAACGGCGGTTCCCCGGTCGACCGACCAGGACCCACCTCGCCGTCGCCATCGCGCAGCGGCGGCAGCACGACGTCGCGGAACGTCGACCGATCGAACAAGTTCTCCGGGTGCGACGCCCACTCCCACTCGTCGATGATCTCGACGCGGTCGAGCGCGTGGCGCGGCGTCGCCGGTCTGAGGGTCGTTCCATACGAGCGAACGTCGGGGTGGAGTTGAAAGGCGTCAGAAGCGGAGTTGAAAGGCGTCGAGGGCGGAGATTGAAAGCGAGGGGTGGGAGGAGAGAGAGGACGGCAAAAGTCCTTAAGGATCGGCGTTCACCACGCCGACGCGGTCGTATGGGGACCAGCGTATAGAACGCGCCTGAGGTGCGACTCGCGGCGATCTCGTTGCCGCGCGGGCGGCGAGCTCACGCGCCCGCCGCTCTCGTGGTCGTCGCGATCGGACATCGCGCTGCCGCTGCCGGAGTCCCCCCCCGCGCGCGTGTTGTGAAAGTTCGCGGTTCGCACGCGCGCGTCCCATCGCACGACGTTCATGTCCGCGTCCACGACGGCGTATCTGTACTCGAACGATCCGACGAAATCGCCCGTCACGGACGCGGTCCACAGGAGCTCGTGATCGCTCCCCTCGACGTGCTGTCGACGCGGGTTCGACGCCAGGGGGGATCGCGGATGGGTCAGGGCGAGGCGTGGGCGACGCGAGAGGACGAAGACGCGGGAGGACGCGGCCGGGATCGGAGGGGACGAGGTCGGCGACGAGGACGAATCACGCGCGGCGCGAGACGGTTGGACGGATTGATCGATCGGATCGGCTCGACGACGCGCACCTGGCAGTGCATCCACAGCCCCTTGCGGACGTCCCATCCCCCGAGCCGTCGCGTGCTGCCGCACACGACGAGGTTCTGACCCCATTCGGTCCAGAACTTCACCCGGAACCCGACGTTGACCTTCGTCGTCGCGTTCATCGCGTCGACCGCGCGCCGCCGACGCTTCGGGGCGCTTTCGGCTGGCTTTTTACCCTCGCGCGCGCGCTGTCAAGTCCGATTCTTCCCGCCGAATTGCCGCGCTCCTCTCGCTCGCGCGCGCCGCTTCCCTCTCGCGCGATGACGCGTCTCGCTCCCCGCGCTCCCCCGTCGCGTTCGCGTCCGCGGCGAGATGCGCGGCACCGAGCGCGCGCTTGGGTCTGACGCGGACTCCGCCGCCGCGCCGGACGCGAGACGATCGAATCCTTGACGCTCGACGCTCTCGACTGCGATGGCGGCTGGATCAGAAAAAGTGCATCATCACGCGAAGCGCGTGGGAGAAGCATTGCCACGCGCACCGCTTCCGCCGCAACAGAGCCATGGCGTCGCCGGGACCGGCCTTGCGGGCCGCGTCCATCGCGTGGCGCCCGTGCTTGACCCGCGCTCGCGTCGCCTCGCGCGCGACGTCGTCCGCGCCGTTCGCGACGCGCGCGCGCGCGCCGGCGACGACGACGACGAGTCGAAGATTCCGCGCCTCGATGCCGTCGTCCGTCGTCGACGTCGGCGGCGCGAGGCGCGTCGCCGCGCGGGTCGTGCGCGCGACGCGCGGGCGCGAGCAGTGGGGGTACTTCGGGTGCGTCGCGGCCGCGTGCAGGCGCGGGCTCGTCGCGACGGCCGCGGGCGGGGACGACGACGGCGCGGAGTCGAGCGGCGACGGCGCGCGCGCGGTCGACGACGACGACGACGACGACGACGCCGGGGCGGCGCCGCTGTCGGATGCGGAGATGAAGAAGCTCGACGCGGACGCCGCGGCGTTCGCGTCGCGGTGGGCGACCGAGCTGTCCAAGTCCGCGTGGGAGGAGATGGGCGTGGGCGACGACGAGCGCGCGAGCGAGGAGAAGAAGAAGAAGAAGGGCGGCGGCGCGAAGGACGCCAGGGCGGCGATCGCGGCGGCGTCGGCGTCGATCGACGAGGACGACGACTTCGCGGAGAATTACTACGACTACGACGAGCTCGACGTGGACGACACGTACTTCGACGACGACGACGAGGACGATTTGCCCGACGTCGCGGCCCTCATCGCGGAGACGGAAAAATCAATCGGCGCGAAGGTCAAGCGCAGGCGCCGGACGCGGAGGGACTGGGGCAAGCTTCCGGACGAGAAGCTCCCGAGGGTCGCCATCGTCGGCAGGCCAAACGTCGGCAAGTCCGCGCTGTTCAACCGCCTGACCGGGACGAAGCGCGCGATCGTGTACGACCAGCCCGGGATCACGCGCGACCGGATGTACGTCCGAGCGTTCTGGGGCGACTCGGAGTTCATGATGGTGGACACCGGAGGGTTGGAGTCGCTCCCGGGGAACCCGGGCGCGGCGCCCTCCGTGGACGCCGTCGGCGGGTTCGAGATCCTCCCGGGGATGATCGAGTCCCAGGCTGCGCTCGCGGTGCGCGAGGCGGCGAGCCTGGTCATGGTCGTGGACGGACAGACCGGATTGACGACCGCGGACGTAGACATCTACAGGTGGATTCGAAAGAACCACGCGGACAAGCCTCTGGTGCTCGCGGTGAACAAGTGCGAGTCCACGACGAGAGGGGAGGAACAAGTTTTGGATTTCTGGTCGTTGGGCGGCGTGACCCCGCTCGCGGTGAGCGCGATATCCGGCACCGGGACCGGGGACATGATGGACCAGCTGTGCGCGACGCTTCCGGCGGTGAACGCGGACGACGAGAAGGAGTCGGGCGAGGAAGTCGCGGAGCCGCTCAAGGTGGCCATCGTGGGAAGGCCCAACGTCGGAAAGAGCTCTCTTCTGAATCAACTCTCCGGCGACGCGCGCGCCATCGTGAGCGATCACAGCGGCACGACGCGAGACACGATCGACAGCGACGTCACGGACGCGGACGGAAACAAGTTCACGCTCATCGACACCGCGGGCATTCGGCGCAGAACCGCGGTGGCCGCGGGGAAGGACAAACCCGAGGAGCTCTCCGTCGGCCGCGCGTTGCAGGCGATGCGTCGAGCGGAGGTGGTGGTCCTCGTGATCGACGCCGAGGAAGGGCCGTCGCAGCAGGACTTCGTGCTCGCGGAACGCGCCGCGCTCACGGAGGGGTGCGCGCTCGTGTTGTGCGTGAACAAGTGGGACGTGATCGACAAGAACTCGTACTCGATGAACGAGTACACCAAGTCGCTGCGGTCGAAACTGCGCGTGTTCGAGTGGGCGTCGGTGGTGTACGTCTCCGCGTTGACGGGGCAACGCGTCCAGAAAGTTCTCGCTGCGGCCGTGGAGGCGTCCACGCATCACAGGAAGCGTCTCAGCACCGCGACGTTGAACGCGGTCGTGCAGGAGGCGACGCTGTGGAAGAGTCCGCCGAGCCGCGGCGGGAGGAAGGGGAAGGTTTATTACGTCACGCAGGCGTCCACGCGGCCGCCGACCTTTGTCTTTTTCTGCAACGACCCGAAGTTGTTCGTGGAAACGTACCGACGGTACATGGAGCGGTCGCTGAGGGAGAACATCGGGTTCCCGGGGACGCCCGTGCGGATATTGTGGCGCGGGAAGGGCGTCTCGGGGCGCAAGTGACGAACGATGGTTCGTCGCTCCGGATCCGCCCCGGTCCTTCGCGCGAACGCGTCGTCGTCGTCGTCGTCTTCAAAATTAAAATTACACGCGTGCAATCGAAGCAGACGGCTAATCGTTAGTAGTACACGAGCGACGCGCGCGTCTTCGATCGATGCTCGTCTCGCATCGCATCGAACCGATCCGCTCTCGCGTCGCGATCATCGACTCACGTGTTGTATATGATGCACAAGATGACGATGAGCCCGACGAACAACAGAAGCCGTTGTAAAAACGCCTGCTGCTGCTCCTCTCGCGTCGCGTCGTCCACCCCCAACGGCTGAGCAAACCACACGTAGTCGCGATCCTCCGGGATGACGTCGAATCGCGAATGTCGTCGCCGCGGCTGCACGCGTACGCCTCTCGGCCGCATCGGCAGGTGCGACGCCGCCGACGCGGTCGCGGTCGCGACCCCCGAGCCCCCTCGCCAGCCGCCGTCGCTCGATCGTCTCTCGCTCTCTTCGCGCCCGTGCGCGTACAGCGGGACCACGGACGTCTCGGAGATGCCGCACTCGCACACGGGGCAGCGCGGGGCGTCCTTGTGCTCTTGCAGCCAACTGATCGTCGGAGAAGAGACGAGCGCGGGAGGGGGTCGTCAGTCGTCGGTGGATGAGATATTAATCTTCGGGGGGGACATTCGACATTCCGAGATCGCGTTCGGCTAGGGTCACGACGCGACGGGCGGGGGCGCGCGCCTGTACACGCACGACCAGCAGTAGAGGTGTCCGCATCTCGTCACGATCGGCTCCACGGCGGATGAGGAGCACAGGTTACACTCCGACGACACCTTGTTATCCCGCGGACCTTCCCGCTCCGGGGGCGCGCGCCATCGCGCGCGTTCATTATTAACCTGTGGAGCCTCCTCCGTTTTGGCACCCCCACGTGGCGCCTCCGCGATCGCGCCTCCTCTCGCGCCCTCGTCCGTCGTCCACGCGTCGACGATCTTCCCGGGAACGCGCTCGAGAGTCTCCGGCGAACGCTCGTTCTCGAGCGCCGGCGCGGGCGCCCAGTCCGTCGCCATCCTCCCGCGCGCCCGTCCGCGCGCGAGAGAGATGTGGTGAGCTGGCCCTTTCGCTTCGCACCGCGATCTGCGTGGATCAAAAGAGGTCAAAAGAACGTGTGTCCCCCTGCTCGCCCGGACAATGCTGACCGAGCACGTGTGTTGATCGCGCGCGAAACCGGACGCCGAGTCGTTGACCGGGCGCGTAAATATCTTGATCGGGAGCTCGACCGGCGGCCGTCGCCGAGCGAACCTGAATCTCGCTAAAAGCGAAACGTGTCGAGGGCTCGCGGCGCGTCGACGACGCCACCGCGGCCATCGTCACCCGCGCGGACGCGACGCGACGCGACGCGTAGCGCGATGCACGGTTCCGCGTGCACGACCGCGCGCGCGCCGTGTGCGCCGCCGCGTCGCGCGTCCGCGCCATCGCGCCGCGGGGCGACGCGTCGCGCGGTGGCGTCCTCGCGCGCGTCGTCGTCGTCGTCGTCCGCGGAGACGGCACGGCGTCCGCCGTCATCGCGCGTCGTCGAGCTCCGCGCGTCCGTCTCCGTCTCCGCCGCGGACGCGCCGATTCGCCGACGAGGACGTCGCGGATCGCGGCCCGATCGTTCCCGTTCGTCCGCGACCGCGTTCGCGTCGTCGTCGTCGTCGTCGTCGTCGTCGTCGTCGTCGTCGTCGTCGTCGTCGTCGTCTCCGTCGCCGTCGTCTCCGTCGTCGCCGTCGTCGTCGTCGTCGTCGTCGTCCTACCGCTTCGTCGTCGTCGCGCTCATCGCGCTCGCGCTCCTGCTCTGCAACGCGGACAGGGTCGTCATGTCCGTCGTCGGCCTCCCGCTCGCGAACCTGAACGGCTGGTCCCCCAGCGTCGTCGGCCTCGTCCAGAGCTCGTTCCTGTGGGGGTACGCGCTCACGCCGCTCGTCGGCGGCGTCCTCGCGGATAAGATCGGCGGCGACGCCGTCCTGATGTACGGCATCACCCTGTGGTCCCTCGCGACGATCGCGACGCCGTTCGCGGCGACGTCCGCGTCGCTGCCTCTGTTGCTCCTGACGCGCGCGGTCATGGGCCTGGGCGAGGGCGTCGCGTTGCCGTGCATGAACAATCTCGTCGCGAGGTGGGCGCCGACGCGCGAGCGGTCGCGCGCGGTGAGCGTTTGCATGGGCGGGTTCCAGTCCGGCAGCATGGTCGGTCTGCTCGCCGCGCCGCACATGCTGCGCGTCGGCGGCGTGCACGGGCCGTTCGTCGCGTTCGGGGCGCTGGGGTTGACGTGGGCGGTGGCGTGGAGGTTCGCGGCGAGCGCGTACCCGCGGGGGTCGCGCCGCGAGGGGCGGGTGTCGGACGCGGAGTTGTCGCTCATCGAGGACGGCGGCGCGGTCACGGAGGAGAAGCAGTGGCAGCAAAGCGAGGAGGGCGGTACTAACGGGAAAGGCGGCGGGAAGGTCCCGTTCAGGCTGCTGCTGAGTAAGATGCCCACGTGGGCGTGCGTCGTCGCCAACTTCGTGAACAACTGGGGGTACTTCATCCTCCTCGCGTGGATGCCTCTGTATTTCAGAGAAGTCGTCGGCCTCGACCTCGCGTCCGCGTCGTACTTCAGCGCGCTCCCGTGGGCGACGATGGCGGTCGTCGGCGTCTGCGCGGGCGCGCTCGCGGATTGGATGATCGCGCGCGGCGTCTCGACGACGACGACGCGGAAGCTCATCCAGGGCGTCGGCTTTCTCGGCCCCGCCGCCGCGCTCGTCGCGCTGACGTTCACGTCGACGCCCGCGCAGGCGCTCACCGCGCTGACGGTCGCGATCGGGTGCACCGCGTTCACGCAGGCTGGGTTCCTCGTCAACTTCCAAGAGATCGGCCCGAGGTACGTTGGCGCGTTGCACGGGATGGCTAACACCGCGGGGAGCGCCGCGGGGATCGTCGGGACGTACGGCGCGGGGGTGATATTGGGGAAGACCGGGTCGTGGAGCGCGGTGCTGCTGATCACCGCGGGGGTGTACGCGTTCGGCGCGGTGTTTTGGCTCGCGTTTAGCACGGGGGAGCGGGTGTTCGATTGAATCGACGACGACGACGCCAGAGGACGGCGCGCTACAGTATTTTTCCGACATTCAACCCTGACGAATCGACAAACGAGAAGAGTCGCGCGCTCGAGTGTCCCTCGCGGGGAAGCGTTTAACGCGCGCGCGCGTACAGTGCGCGAGTTTTACGTACGTTTCGTTTTCCTTCCTTCGTAGTCGATGAATCTTGTGAAAGTGGTGGTGATTATTTATCACCATTGTGTGTTCGCGCCAGCTCTCGAAGAGCGCGGCGGCGTTTGCGTCGCTCAAGAAGCGACGTTGTTTAGTTTTTGTTGTTGAAGACCATAGAAGGAGTCGTCGCTTACGCGCGCTCACCACGGATGCGGCGGGCGAGCTGGATGTCCTTGGGCATGATCGTGACACGCTTGGCGTGGATCGCGCAGAGGTTCGTGTCCTCGAAGAGGCCGACGAGGTACGCCTCGGACGCCTCCTGGAGCGCAAGGATCGCGGAGGACTGGAAGCGGAGGTCCGTCTTGAAGTCCTGGGCGATCTCGCGGACGAGACGCTGGAAGGGGAGCTTGCGGATGAGGAGCTCGGTGGACTTCTGGTACTTGCGGATCTCACGGAGCGCGACGGTACCGGGCCTGTACCTGTGCGGCTTCTTCACGCCACCGGTGGCCGGGGCGGACTTGCGCGCCGCCTTGGTGGCGAGCTGCTTGCGGGGCGCCTTGCCACCGGTAGACTTGCGGGCAGTTTGCTTCGTACGGGCTGGAGAAGAAGAATGGGGAGGGAAGGGGCATCGAATGTCAGTAAGAGGACGCGAGAGGGAGAGGCGTCGAAAAGGGGATCGAAGAAAAAACGGGTTTTCGTTTGAATTCGCCCGCGCGGGGATCGACCCCACGCGGCGCGAATTCGCCAAACGAACGTCCGCGTCGCACAGCGCCTCGGAGCGCGGGGTCTCCCAGGCGTCTGCGCGGGCTTCAGAGGGATCAAGAAAGAAAGATGACGCACCCATTGTGTTAGTTGTTCGTTTAAGAATGACCGAGATCCGTGAGGAAACGCGGCTTTGAACGAAAACTGCTCGAATTTCCCTCAAAATTTAAACGAAAACCGCGCCGATCGCCGCCCGATTTTCAAGCCTCTGCGTCGATTTTCCTTGAGAATTCCACCTTGGTTCGCTCGTGCCACGCGCGCGTTTCGAGGAATCGCAGTCGCTCGACTGTCCTGCGTCTCTCGGCGCCTGGTCTTGTCTCGACGCGCGAGAGCGACACGGAACGTCGTGACGAGACGCGCGCGATGGCGTCGTCCGAACGCGCGTCGTCGTCGACAGCGCGCGTCGCCCTCGCGCTCGCCGCGGGAGGCGTCGCGGCGTACGCGTACTATCGACTCTCTCGCGCGCTCGCGGTCGCGCGCGCGCGCGACGAGGACCCGTCGATCGCGGCGGACGTGATGGACGCCGCGCGCGCGTCGACCGCGAGAGACCGCGAGACGTTCGCGTCGCAGAGCGAGGAGGAGACCGCGGAGATGCGAAGACAGGCCGCGGTGCACATGGCGCGTCTGCAAGCCGCGGGGAACATGGGCCAGGACGGCGCGGGGGGGATGAAGAACCTCACCGCGGAGGAGTGCGGCGGCGTCACGGACAGGTACCGGTGGAAGCAGACCGAGCGCGAGATCGTCCTCGAGTTTCCCATCCCGCGCGGCGTCACGTCCAAGCACGTGGACGTGCGCATCGAGACGAAGACGCTCAAGGTCGCCATCAGGCCGTGTCCGGCCGCGGAAATAGCGACGGAGCGCGTCGTCATCGCCGGGAGGCTCTTGCGCGACGTAGTCCCGGACGAGTGCGTCTGGGAGATCGAAGCCGCGGACGACGGCGACGGCGGACGAAAAGTCGTCGTCACGCTCTTCAAGCTGCTCGCGACGATGGCGATGCATCACTGGAACTGCGTCGTGAAGGGGGAGCCGACGATCGACGTGAAGAAGTTTGGGCCCGCGATCGTCGGGATCAACGGGAACGACCCGAGCGCGTTGCAGCGGATGATGGAGGGGTTGCCGCCGCCGGGGATGTGACGCCGCGAAAGCGCGGCGGCGGCGGCGCTCGACGCCCGCGTCGGGTGGACTACAGGGTCGTTATTTTTTGGCGCTCGCGACGGCGCGGACCGCCCGGGCGCCCGCTGGCGCTCGCGCCGTGCCGTAGACGAAGGTCGCGCGACTTCGATAGGAACTACGTTGATACACTAATTACTCTTCGTACATCGCCGCGCTTCGCGCGCGCGACGCTTCGCGCGTCGTGCCGCCGCCGCCGTTCG